TTAAAAGGTTTCCACACAATAATAAAATTGGCAAAATGTGACTAATTGAAATACAAGTACTCTTATTACCCTTAAAATATAATAAAAAAATTCATGATGATTAATCCCGCCTACAGGCATATTAAGCATTTTGCGCATATAAATACATATATATACATATATATATATAAATAATTGCGGGCCACATTTGATCTCAGTTGGGCACGCACTTAGATTCTGAAAACATTTTAACTATAAATTCTCAATGAATTATGAAAATCATATTATTAAAAAAAAAAGGAAAATCATGTTTGCCTCTTTGAAAAAAAAAATTATACACGTTCAACCAACTTAATAATAGAGAACTCTAATATTATTTATTCTTTTTCTGTCTCATACGAAAAAATTTATTCGCTCTGTACTTTTATATTAATCAACTTTAACTGAGCAGAATAAATTACCAATTCTTGAATTATCATAAAAAAAAAGAGAGAGAAACCCAAAAACAAAAAAAAATTAAATAAATAAATCTTCGTGAATCATCATGATTAGTCAGGAAATTAATTAATTAATATATAACCTTAATTTTCAGGATAGAGCAAATTAAGATAAAGGACGTACGGAGCCAAGCGAAGATAATTGGAACAGTGGTGACATTATCAGGTGCGTTGGTGATGACTCTTTACAAAGGTCCTGTGATTGATATGATCTTCTGGTCCACCAAATCAACCCACCATACAAGCAACTCCTCCGACAAACACTGGTTAGCCGGAACGCTTTTTATCCTCATTGGCTGTGTTGCCTGGTCCTGTTTCTACGTCTTGCAAGTAAGTATACGTATTTGGGATCGATCGACGATTCGAACTCTACACTTTACGGTCAAATCAACTTAATTGATTTACCATTAAAACTATATATACTTGCAATCATTACTGGAGTTGATTTTATTATATGTTAAACTATGTGTGTATACTAAATGATCAGTCGATAACAATAAAGAAGTACCCGGCGGAGTTGTCTCTGTCGTCACTGATATGCTTATCGGGTGCGTTGCAAAGCACAGCAGTGGCACTCGTCGTGGAACGTCACGCCAACGCTTGGGCCGTCGGTTGGGACTCTAGGCTCCTTGCCCCAGTATATACGGTTAGTGACAATATACGTATTGATCCTCTCCGAACAAAAAAAAAAAAATGAAGGAGATGCCTCTAATTTTATGCTATGTTTGGTAGGATGGATAGAAAAAAAAGAAAGAAAGAAAGAGAAGTAAAATATCTATGTGAATAAAGTAAAATAATTTTCTCTCATGCTGTTTGGTAGAAAAGAAAGAAAAGTAAAAAAAAAAATGTCAAATTTAAGGTATTTTACAATAATACCTCAATACAAATAAAAATATGATGAATGATGAAAGTTAAAATTGTTATTTTACATCTCATTTTTCTTGTCAAACTTTTTCCCTCCTCTTTTCTTCCCAAAGTTAAAAGGATTAAAAATTGAGGAGCCTTATAAATTTTTATTTTCTTCTCTACCAAACAACCTAAAATTCTATTTTCTTCTATAAAATTCTTCTTCTATTTTTTTTCCTCTCTCTTTTCCTCTCAGGGAAGGACGCCAAATACTATAAATAAAATAAAATAATTCAAGACACACTTGCAATGTCAATATGCATGTTCCAACTTTTTGCATATAATGCAAGTGATTACATTATTTTATTATATTAAAAAAGTTATTACTTTATTTATCATTTTTTAATCGACAACTATCGTAACATTGGGCTTTTCACGAATTAAAAAAATAATAATTCACATGTCGTGTTCACAAAAAAAAAAATGTACGATTCAAATTTAAACGATAACAATGGACGCATTACATGATCATGTATTGAAAAAAGAAAAAAACACAGAGAGAGAGAGAAGGGGCACGTATGGGGGGAAAAAAGCATACTAAAATCAATAGGCTTTAGTTTATTCTCCTTTTTTTAGATTGTTAATTCTCCAGATTTATATCATAGTCCATGGAATTTTTCATGTCACTTCTAGTTCAACTAGTAAATGTTCTATTTCCCAAAAATAAAAATAAAAAGGTGAAGAAGAAGAAGAAGAAAAAACTAGTATCTTTATGCATATAATGTTACATGCACACATATATAATGATTTGTATTGAAATGGTTTTTTTTTTCTGCCAACTTTGGAAACAAATTCTGTTCATCAATATTGTTGCTGAATTGTTGTACTTGTTCTGAACAATAACGATCAGGGAATTGTAAGCTCCGGAATTACGTATTACATACAGGGCCTAGTGATGAAAACTAAAGGCCCAGTATATGTAACGGCCTTTAACCCTTTGTGCATGGTCATTGTTGCAATCCTTGCTGCTATCATTCTAGCTGAGAAAATCCATCTCGGAAGGTAACGTATTTTTCCAGTTCCTCTTTTTTTTTTTTTTTTTTTTTTTCCTTCTTCAAATGCCATATAACGATGATTTCATAATAGCAAATTATGATTTCTTTTTTCCTTAATGATACTAGCCCAGTAACTTAAGGCTAAGTAGTTTGCAAAGCATATTTAAGTAATTATTTATAAAATGAACTTTAAATATGTCAAATTTACCCGGAGTGAGGTGCATTTGTGGTATTTAAGTGACTAATAAATTATTATTTATTAGTCTTTTGCTTGAGATAAGTCTTTTTTTCTTTATTTCAATATATTCATACTTTCGTTATTTTCATTATGTTAGCTTCCGCCATTTCAAGAGTTTGCTGAGCTTCTTGTGGATTATAAATTCGCTTCTAGTCAGTAATTGCCTAGATAGGATCACTTAGTGGGGTTTGGCAAAGAAACTCCTTTATCTTATCGAATAAACATACGTTTCTTTTGTAGTAAATATTGAAGAAAAGTAATTTCCTAACTTAGAAACTTTGCTTCTAACCAAAAAACAACTTTAACCCAAGAAAAACAGTCAAGAAAGAAAACTGTAAATTAAAAAGATAATTTCTCTTGTGTAACAGTCCCCACTTGACAAACTTTTTATATCGAAATGATAGTGTTCTTATACCCTACCTACTTGTTTGTGTATCAATTATAGTATATTTCAGATATGGTTTAATTTTCCCTTCAATAGTCGAACAATTTTTATTAAAAAGGCTATATATCCAATGCCTACAAGTAGATATTTTTCGTAAATATTAATGATTCAGCTTTAGGGCATGCATTAATAAACTACATAGGACATATAGGCTATATCATTATTATTATTATTATTATTAAGCCAAAATATGGTTTCTTAATTTTTGCTTACGTCTTAAATCTTGTAGTATTATTGGAGGGATTATCATCGCAATAGGGCTTTATTCAGTTGTGTGGGGCAAAAGCAAGGAAGATTCTAACTCTCAACTATCATCATCATCATCATCATTATCGTCGTCGTCGTCATCACCATTGCCAAGAGCAATAACATTAAAGGGAGAAGCACCTGAACAGAAGCCACCACTTAGTGCAACAAATGACAATATTAATGGGGATAAAGTCGTCATTGCCATAGACAAAAGCGACCAGCAATCTGGAAAGCAGCATATGATCCCATAAATAGTGCTCACATAATTACATCACTACCAGAGCCTTCTACTCATTGTTTAATATTATTCCCTTGTTCCCCACCCCCCACCCCACTTTTTCATTAATTTGTATCAAAATTATTTATAATATTTCGCCAAAACCCCTTCTTGAAACTCTTGCTTATAATTTGGACGCAATAATTATGTATAGTAGTTTTCTTAATATCTAAATCATGGCGTAAGAAAAAGGTTCTTTTGCGCTTGTTTCCTGAATTTTTTGTTTATTGATCATAATTAAGTTGCTTTCTAAACTCTTTAGTTTTGAGAAATTATTCCGAATTTTATAAAATGTTTTAGAGTGAACTCAAAATATTGATAATAGATGTTAAAATTTAGAATTAAATAATACTCTTATGCACGTGACATTATGTCTTGCACTGTTATCCGAATAATTTCAGTCTTGGCCTAATTTAAAGGAACTAATATAACAGTATTGAAGCATTTTTGTTCAAATTTTAGCAGTCATAATATATATATATATATATCGATTTATTGATTTGGGAGCAATCTACAACCTTTTAATATTAAGTACTGTAGAAATAATTTTGTCAAAATTAAAAATTTAAGGATAATTTGTCAAATCAAGAAAAGTTCAAGATAAGTGCCTGCAAATACCCTGAGAAAAATGCAATAGGCATTAGGAATTTGTCAATATCAAATCTTTTATACTAATCTATAGTGACAATATTATGTATAGACAAGTGACCCATGTGACAAAGTATTGATTCTTACTTTTTTATAAAATAACTAGATGTGTGTGTGTACAAATTACTGGGATAAATTAAATAGTCAAAGTCGGTATATCCAATCTTAGTTAAAAAAGAAAAGACATGGAAAATAGATTAAATTACCATTACTTACAATATAAGATCCGTATTAATTGTTCTCATTCTCCAAGGAGTGTAGTTTAAAAAGAAGACAGAATTATGAGTTTAAATATGTATGGGTCTTATGCACTAACTAGCTACCCAATGACAATATATATATATATATATATATATATATATATATATATTTAATGTATCTAACTTGATCAAATAGTTTAGTGATATCACCACATATTTATTATACTTGATGATGTCTAGTGTCTCTCCAAACTATCTATTGTGGTCAAAGATCAATCATAGCTAGCCACACTAGTTATTGTTGTGCATCTACGTGTATGTTGCAATGCAAACAAATTGCAAGGGTTTAAACAAATTGCAGGGTTCCTAGATATGGCCTTAGTAATGTAGTGGTTGATGTCATCCAAAATTTGGCATTTTATGGCAAAGTTATTTCAGCAAAGTGATCATCACGTTAATTTGTGGCATTAGATTAGATATTTGCATTATGGGTAAGTGGTGAAGAGATAAATTGAATTGTGGACATAAATAAAAGTAACATTAATGGATATGTCTACATTAGTTGTTCCGGAGTGTTTGCTTGCAGCTTTTAAACTTTATATAAATGTATTCTATTTGCTCAAGGAACTAAATGAATGTCATATCTTTTTAAGTTTTTTTCTTCTTCACCTTCTTTTTTAAATATATATATATATTAAATAAGATGTCATCTCTTTAAGTTGATGGTACCGCCTAAAGGGTATAAAAACCATCAATGTCGTACAAAGCAAGAATAAGAATTCGCTTCTTTTTCTTTTTCTTGACAAATTTGCAAAAAAGTCTAAGAATTCGTTCCTTCATATATAGACTAATAGTTGTCATTTCTTGTCGTTATTCAATTTATATTATTTTTATATGTTTTATTGGCAATCTCCTCCTAATTGAAGGAGAATCCTATTGTGCCCCAAATAGCGCACTAATTTTGCATACTTAAAATAAAAGGGTAATTGATCTACCGTCAACTTTTTTTTTTTTATAATGAAATATTTGTGGTTAGGTGTAAAATAAATATTGTATTGATGAGCAGCCAAATCACATGAATCATATGTATAATAACTAAAACATATGTAAATTTAACGAAAATTAGGTAGTTCAGAATTTTGCATTAACAATAGAGTATTTTTGCATCATACAACAAATTACGAAAAATAATTATATACAAGAACAATATCCTGAAAATTAATTATACCAATGCAAGTTCAGTCTTCTAAATTGGTTGATAGATCAATTTAGAAAGAATCTATACTCTTATTATGTGGTCTAATTAGGTTTATTTTATACGTATTATTTGATTAATTAGTAGTGATTTTTGCTTGTTGTATTATATTTGGTACATAATGTTTTAGGTTTGTTTTCTTTTGTTCGATATATTTGATTAATTATAAGTTTTTTTTGTGTAAATTGGGTTTTCTTTTGTGACTATTTGGTTGTTTTTGATAATTATATATCTAGTAATTCAGTTTTAGGTTTATTTGTTTTAGAAGTATTTTGGTTTTTTTTTTTTTATCAATTAGATACGTTATTTCGATCTGGGTTTTTGGAGGGCAAAAAAACTTTTTATCTTTGAATTTGGAAATATTTGGAAAAATATTGATTGCTACATATGATGACTATGTTGTGATTATGATTGTTTAGTTAGGTTGATGTTACTCTTATTAATTAGTCAGGCTTTAGGAAACTTTTGTGAAAATTGAATAATGTCTGTAATTTGTGTTGATAAAGTTTGGTAATTAATTTTATCATGCTTGCATAATTAACGAATTTATGATGTTTCATTATTAGTATGGTATTAATAATTTTTTTACATAAAATAGAAAAGAAAAAACAAATAGAACCCTTCACCGATGTTATTTTTAATATTGTTAGGGTCACATTAATTATCGTTTAACTTCGTGACTGCTGGAACGTAACGATAAGGTAGACCTTTCAACCACGACATTTGAAATCAAAATTGTAATCAACATATAACAATGAATACCACTGTTGAATAACTTTTTTCGAAATATCCAACTTCATGTATCTGTTTTCTTGCATGCATTGTGACTTTCCAGTACTTTTAAGAAATGACGTACAGTACTTCGATTTCCTTTCCCCTTTTTTACGAGATCATGGTTGAAAAACTTCCAAGTGCAACATCCCAATCATCCAATATATATTATGGGAAAACCCTAGCGTATTAGAGTATCGTATTTTATAATAATATATTGATATAATATTTAATATGACTATTATATTATATAAATTAATATAGATAGTAAATTAATATGATTTATGTTGTATTATAAAATACAATTCATTCTTGACGTATTATATTGTATTATTTTATAGTGAATCTATGATCTATATCGGGATTAGGCATGATTGGGAGTCAGGATCGAGTCGATATAAAATCATGCCGGAACCTATAATTGTTTAAAATTGAGGGGGCACAATACAAATTTATATTTTTTAAAAATTATATTTTGATCCCTTAATTTAGACAAATATCATTTTGAGTTATGACAACATAATACAATACCTCTAATACAATACGATACAAAACAAGTTATTAAATATGGCTTATATGTATTATATGTTGGCTCTGATAGAAATGTTCTTGTGCTCTAGCTTTAGGCTGAAACTTCAAAGCATCAACAAAAATATGTATGGGTTTGTTTCTTAACCTGTTTTATTACGACGTGTTTTTGGTGTATGGTAGAATTATTAGAGATCATAATCCCCGTTCATTTTACCGATTCAAATTTAGAATTCGAGTTTTGTTACAGTAAAAAAACTATCAGAAATAGTCACATCTAATTTTTTTACTACAGTAAAAAATTCTCACATAAAGTCACATTTTAACTCGAATTAAAAACTCAAATCAGCGAACTAAACGAATCGAGATATGTACATTTTAATTTAAGGTCAATAATACATGACTTAATTAATTCACCAGAAACTTCCTACTGTTAGAGGGATGTTGTCATTCATTCCAGTCTTTCCATCTTGATTAAAAGATACAGCGTTTTTCAAGTAAGGAAAAGATATAGCTTTTTATAATAGGATATGTAGTCCTATTAACGGTTCACGATGTTTTTAAATACGGTTAAAATCGCATCGAAATAATATATATCTATATCTACACACACAAAATTGATATACTAATCTGACAGTAAAAAAGGAAATGCTACTTACTGATGAGGTGTTTTTAATAATATATGCGGTAAAATTCGCATTAAAAGATTAATAAATTAGTAAAATGACATTTGTACCGTGTTGGGACAGTGATTGACAAGCAAACACGCACGTACGGTTGGCAATAGGGATTGTACGCTTGAGAATATTGGCCCGCATTTAGAATTGTCGGTTTTTATTTTTTACGCTTTTTAAGGAAAAAAAATAAAAATATTTTCAAAACTGTGTTAAGCGTAATAAAAATAAAAAATAAAAATAAAAATAATTTTTTAATTTAGTATAAAATGAGAGAAAAATAAAAAATTATTTTTAATCATTTTTTATTTATTGTTTTTGTTTTCTCTTCTCTCATGCAAAGAGAGAGAGACATTAATAGGTTTTTTTGTACTAAAAATAATCTCTTGATAAAACTACTAAAAAATATTTTTAAAAATAATTTATGTCTAATATTAAAAACGTTTTTATTTTTATTTTCATACAAAAAATAAAAATCATTTTAAAATAAACTCTAAACGCGCCTATTGTCTCCACAAGAGAAACCAAGTCAACTAGCAAATGGGAGAAATATTTGAGCCAGAAGCTATAGATCAAGGAAGATATTTTTTCTTTTTGAAAAAAAAAAAGAAAAAAAAAAACAGAGAGAGAGAGAGATAGACTGAAGCAGATTTTGGCAGAGCATAAAAAATTGAAGCAAATGGTAACATGTTTATTTTAGCAGCCCTGAGTCATAAGTATAACCAACACAATACTAAATTTCTGTGTGCCAGTTAATATTTTAAAAAAAAAATGGAGTTGTATATGGTGTATTGCGTAGAGCCATATTTAGTATATATTATCTTAATCTTATCCAATATATAGTGTTCGAAATATATAATAAGGCCTTACTAACTCTAAAGCCCCTACTTTACCCCTCTCTACTCGTCTCTACTCTACATACTGCTACTCCTAAAGTGAAAATTGCATAATTTATTATTAAAAGTGTATGAATCAAAATTTTTACCTCTCATTTTAAATTAATACCCTTTTATTAGTATAATTATTTGACTAAAAATATTATTAAACAAAAATAAAAGATAAAAATCTTGATTCGTCATGAATCATACTATATTATTATAATCAAAATAATATTATGCATGTATAGGGCACGTGTGATTCTAGCTCAGCCCTCCACGCCGCACACATATATAAATAAAGTTATATATGTGTATGTGAGTGTGTGTGTGTATATATGTTACATATAATATACATATATATGTATATGAAGTTCTCAAAAAGTTGGCAAAATTAAATAAGGAGCCTTAACTTCGAGTATGCACCTTATCTGTAGTTAAAGTTACCAATATAGATCATGCATGTGCATGATTCATGAGTAGCTTATTTAAAACAAAAGGTGTGTGAATTAGAAAAGGCTAGATCGAGAACAATGATCTAGCTATATATCTTGTGCCCTTCTTGGGCGTGAGATAAATGTCAACCCTTGATGTGACGTAGTTCAAATATCATTCCCAGGCGTAATAACTGGCTCGAAATCTGTCTCTTCTTGGTTATGCCAAAGAATACGAATAATATATATTGTCCTTTACAAGAACAAAAAAATATCAGAGAAATATATAGATTGATCAGGATTTATCATGATGATTTTCGTAGTATATTCGTAGTACTATTTGATTGGGAAGCCCATTTTAAATGATTTGATTTTAAAAGGTTTGTCTAAATTTTCTTTTTCTGTGACCATAAACTAGACATATGAGGTTCAATTACTAACCATGTAATATTCTCATATGAAACAAAATTAAAAAAAAAAAAAAAAAAAACAGTTCATTAATGATATTAGGAATCGAATTTAACATTATTCTTTTAAGCTATTTACGAACCTATTGTAATATTTTGTTGCAGCCGATTTGCTAGGCATCTGCATATCATATTTCTCCATACATGTATGCATTTCCAAAAAAGAATATATATATATATATATATATATTAGGGTTGATAAAATAGTGTGCATCATCTAAAAAAAAATTAATAAGAAAACGTTTAAAAGAAAAGACAGAGAAAATAAAAATTTTTATTACGTGTTATTAATCGGGCCAAGAAATTTAAAGAATTTCTGCTTTTACACATATATTACAATTAATTATTTTCTGCTGAGTAATTTTGTAAGCCACACAGTATTTTGAATTATTCAGTGCCAAAAAAAATATTTTGTGTTTCCATGCTTTTTACCTACTAGCCTTGTTTCTTCTGTGTCGTTCCTGTGTACCGCATTTCAAGGTGGGATTCCACCAACCTGATTTTTTGTTGGAATCCAAACACGAAAGCATTAACTTTATTTCTTTGGACGTTGTCTCACAATGTGTTTTTAATACTCATCATTAATAAATTATTTTAAAAGATACTGTCCTTGAGTGTATATTAGACTTCATTAAGATGCAACAGATTTTCTTCTTCTTATTATTTATTTTTTTATTAAGTTTTTTACTTCTACGCACATTACTACAATTATTTGTCGTTCTAAGTCAGGGGAAGTATATATATCATATCTAGAAATATCAACACAATTATTGTTCTACAAATTTATAGGTGTAGAACTGCATGAGAAGATATTGCTAATTAAAATAAAATTTAAAAAAAAAAAAAAAGATTCACTTTTTTTGGACGCAAGGACAACAAATCAATAAAACCATCGACCAGATGTCATTTCTCGATACCAAATTTTATTTGCAATTTGATGCGACAATATCATAAATACCGCGTATATCTATTGGTGTCAATTTTATATAGTTGCGTATGGAACGAGAAAAGTAAAAAAAAAAAAATGTTGCCTGAATATATAAGGTCCATCATGCATACCGATTTCACCCATTTTCTTTTTACACATCGGATAGAAGTGGCAAACTGACATGGTAATAATAACCATATGTTTTCTTTTGAACGCTTTTCACACAATTAACTAGTAATTCCTTTATAAGCGCACTACTACAGTGAAAAAAAATAAATTACTAGCCATGTCATTCGCACTAATTAAGCTTTACAATTGATAGAAAGAGATACAATTAATACATAATTATATATTATTTCAAATAAATCGTACGTAAATTTCCTAGCTAATAATGAGTGATGTACTCAGCTCGGCCTTTATTATTAGTTTATTGAGGTGGTGTCCACTCTTCATAGCACCCACTCTTTACAAACACCAACATAAGCTGTGCATATGTCATCCCAAAGCACTAAACCTAATTCCCATTTGATGGTCAACGAATCAAATCCCCACTTCCCATAAAACAAATAATAAATCAAAGGAAAAAAAAAAAAGAAAAAGAAAAGCTTGCATATTATTTTCAAAGAGATCCAAATAAACTCCTCTCTTTTTCATTCCATGACATAATATTAGTGAGGATTCTAGTTTGCTTTGGAATACCACGGAATTTATTTTGTTTTCACTAATGGATAAGAGAATCCTAGAGAGAGAGAGATAGAGGGAGAGAGAGAGAGTGCCTGGACGTGTTCTACGTACTATCAATGACCTAGCCTTTCTCTTTTTTTTTTCTTTTTTCTTTTTTTTTTTCTTTTTCTTTTTTTTCCTCTCTATTATTGCGTTTTTCTTTTTTCCTTTTTGTGCCTATAAGAAGGAGCATTTCTCGTTTTGGTGTTGGCAGGCAAAGAGAGAGCATCCATATAGCAATATATTAAAGAGAGTAGTAGTAGTGCGTAAGAGCCCTAGAGAGGAGAATATACACTAATATTATTATTATTATTATCATCATAATTTTAGAAGAAATGGGGGGGAGTGAGGCTTTTTTGAAGATGAAACCATACTTGGCTATGGTGTCTCTGCAATTCGGGTACGCAGGGATGTACATCATCAGTATGGTTTCCTTCAAACATGGCATGAGTCACTTCGTCCTATCCGTCTACCGTCACGTTGTTGCTTTTCTCATCATGGCTCCCTTTGCCATCGTTCTCGAAAGGTACTGCACACTGCTCTCTCCTTACATATATAATAAACAGCGAGAAACTATAACACACTAAAATTTTCTGGTCGTATTCTGTATAAGTAATATATGTGTATGCATGTACTTTTGTCCTAGCATAGCCAGATCTTGTTACGTAAAACCACATGATTGTCCATATTTAATGTCATATGTGTCGGTTTCAAATTACGTTGACAGGATAAAATCAATGATATATAATGATACAACTATCTATATCAATACATATAGGACCGTGTTGGCTTTGTGTTGTTATACATACGTATCTGTCAGATATATATTCTGCCTCATGTTATAATATTGCATATAAGTTTACACGTTCTTTTCATCCCTTTTGTACACAGGAAAATAAGGCCAAAGATGACTCTCCCCATCTTCCTGAGAATAATGGTGCTTGGTTTCTTAGAGTAATGCCCTATAACTCTCTGCGCTTAATTAGTTAATATATAACTATTTCAATTGCTTGTGTATAATTTCTCATAATATTATATGCGTGTGCACCTATTCTCCATGCACACACAGGCCAAATCTTATAATATAAGTTAAGTTGCAGTGTATATTTTTTTTTTTTTTTTTTGCCTTCTTTTGAATGGTATGACATAAGTTTCATGCACACGGAAACGTAATGATATAACTTTATGTTTCTATAACTTTTTGTGTTTTCTCTATAATATGTCTATTATAAACCATCATAGCGTGAGCTACTTAATTACAAGTTGAAACGATGTATTATGGTTCTATAATAATAGAGTTGCTTTTTATTGTATTGGAAGAGAAAATCCAGAAAATGACATGTCTTTTTTAGATAGTGGGGCTATATCGTAATGGAAATGATGTCGATAATCACTTGTTGTCTTGTTCCATCCGAGGCCCACTCCTAGCAAAGTTGCATTTATACATGTTTATGCATGTATATATGGAGTTCCATCGAAAGAGGAATATGCATTTATCTTGTTTTGATCTTATAAAAAGTCATCACGAGCGTCCACACGCTTTTTTTTCCATTTAATTAAAAAGAGAGAAAAAAAAATTGGTATAGTCGAATACTACTTTAATGTTTATTTAATATTTTTCTATTTTATATTGTTTCTATAATCCCATTTATATTAATCTAGTATTGTCTATTAAGGTTTAGATCTTAATTTTAATTAACAGCTTTTCTTAAAAAGAAAAAAGAAAAAAGAAAAAATCATCAACTAATGTTATTCACCATAATTTGAAAACCTACAGGCCAGTGCTTGATCAAAACTTGTACAACTTGGGTATGAAGTACACCTCAGCAACATTTGGTGCCGCCATTGTTAACGTCCTACCTGCTATTACCTTCATCATGGCTCTTATTTTCAGGTATATTTCTTCTTTTAATTTATTCTTTTTTTTCCTTGATTATGTCAAGAAGGTGAAATGTGATGGCTATCATAATAGAAGCCAATAAATTAAATTAAGCCACATGAGATGGCCACTAGATTCTGCACCCCAACCAAAAAAAAAAAATTTTGAAATTTCTCAAAAAAAAAAAAAAAAACAAATAAATTAAGACTGCCGACAATCTATAGTACATGTTTCACTTTTCACGTAATATTTTTAGTGGAGCTTCTATTTGGTCAAACAAGTACAATTTCTTTTTAGAAACCAAAAAAAAAAAATGAACAAATATAATTACACGCTATATTATTAATTTTAATTCGTGTTTCATACAAATAACACAAAAATAGAAAGACATCTGAATTCTAATTCAATTTTTTTTCCCCCCTCTCTTTGAATTGTGCAATAGACCTATAGTGTTGTTGTTACAAAATCCTATGATAAATTAATCAGGTTAGAGACGGTGAATGTGAAGAAGATAAGCAGTCTCGCAAAGGTGATCGGTACAGTAATCACGGTGTCGGGAGCAATGGTGATGACTCTTTACAAAGGTCCGATCCTCGATATATTCCACAATCACGGCCATTCCAATGAAACCTCCACCGCGGAGGCCTCCCAACACCACTGGGTCACCGGCACTCTCATGCTCATTGGAAGCTGCGCCGGTTGGTCTAGTTTCTTCATTGTTCAAGTAAGTGATACACATTTGTACTTCTAATGTATACTATTAACTAGATATCTTTATTATAATAAGATTTTATATGGTACAATTTAGTTGTTACTTCTCTTCATTAAAAAAATAATAATAATAATAATAAGATATATGGTATAATTTATTACGAGAAATTAAGGTTTATTGGATTCATATTTAGATTATATGCCAAACAAAGTGTGAAGAATATTTTTATTCTTAAGGTGGCGGTGGCGATATTATTTTAGTAGTGGATGTATAATATATCATGTGGATCTAATTCTGTTTTTTTTTTTTTTTTTTTTTTGATAAATAAAAATCAGTCATTTACGTTGAAGAAATATCCAGCAGAGCTGTCTCTCACAGCTTGGATATGCTTGATGGGAGTGTTGGAAGGTGGAATTGTGACGTTTGTGTTTGAACATGACATGCATGTCTGGGTTCTAGGCTGGGACTCCAGGCTTCTGGCTGCTGTCTACTCTGTGAGTACTACAATATTCATCCTTATATATTATATATATAGATCTTGTTCTCTTTTTTTCTTCCTTCTTTTTATTTTTGTTAATGAGTTACTTCGATAAACCCTCTGTAAAATTTTTTTAAACTCCGGTAAATTTTTTTTTTTTTTAGGCTAACACGTGCACCTATCGAGTTCGATACAAAAAAATAAATGATAATAATAATAATAAATAAATTCCACGACTTTATATACGTATGCATGTTTTGGATGGACTTATTGCATATTGTTTGACACATAAATTAATTAATGTTGTAAAAACAGGGGGTAATTTGCTCTGGGATTGCATATTATGTGCAAGGAATGGTAATCAGGGAAAGAGGACCAGTTTTTGTGACATCTTTCAGTCCTCTTTGCATGATCATCACCTTTGCTCTTGGTGCCATCGTTTTAGCTGAACAAGTCCACCTTGGAAGGTAATATATATATTTTAAATTTTCTTAATTCAAATCCAAATGAATTTGCCTATAATTTGCTTCATCCTCATTATTTTTTTTCTTCTTTTTTTAACTTTCCTCAGCATTGTTGGAGCCATTTTCATAGTTTTCGGACTCTACACTGTCGTTTGGGGCAAAAGCAAAGACCCCATAGCCTCAACAGCACCATTGAAAGACGACAAAACCCAAGAATTGCCCATCACGGACACCACCGCCAAACCAATCGCCATTGTTACTACCATTAACAACAATGCAACTTCAGAAATGTCCAAGATTTCTACATCCCAGGGTTCTTAATTAAGCGAAGAGATCAATCTCGAAAAAAAAAAAATATATATATATCGAAGATTTTCGGAGGGTGGAGCAGCTTTTGTTATGTTAGATAAAAAGGTTTCACAAGATTATGTACATCTCCTAGGAGGGATCATCGTAATCTAAAAAAAAAAACTGTGAAACTTTGTTTTTAACTTTTTTTGAAGTAACTTGAGAGCAAGTATATTAATGATCATGATCTTAGCTACTTGTGTTTTGATCATCTCCATAAAATATCTTTTTTTGCCTATTTTCTCTTTATCTCTTTTCCTCTTTTATTTTGTTTTGTTTGGTACTTTACATTATATATTCCAAGGATTTGAGCTAGCTAGTGAACCTAGAGAGAAACCTAATAGTAAAGCAGCCAAAGAAGAGAAAAAGAAAAAGAAAAAGAAAAAAAAAAAGGAATCGAATAAGTGAATTTAATTTGTCACTATATTCTCAAATAGTCATCTGAAGAAGATTCTCGTGTCATCATACATTACCATTGCGTGAAAAAGTTGATTTTGCACATGATTTATGTAAAGACATAGATTAGAAAGCTTGGCCTCATTGAAAAGGATGTCTTAGAATACTAGAATCTAATACCGTTTGCTGCAATACTGGAATCTAATGCTTGTTTGCTAACTCGGATTGTGCGTGAGAATGAGAACTTTAGAACATTAGTGATTAAATAGTCTTTGGATGCCAGAGTAGTTTTTTGCAAGTACGAGCTTAATTAGTACAACGTGGGGATAAAGACAAATATTTGAAGATGTGTCTAGAAAACAAGTGAATAGAATGAGAATATCTCAATCTTTGTCCATCACTTTTCACAAAGATATATTATATTTGCCTATTAAAATTACCTTTTAACAATATATGAGATTGTAATCATTGTAGATTGGGTTTTTGAGCTTAAAAAAGAACAGAAGAATGAACTCATGGACTTAAAACGCTCTACCACGCATGAAGAACAAAATAGTGTATCAGAACCTGGAGAGATTTTTTGTTTTTTTTTCCCCCTCGTGTTTTACAACTTCCAATTTAACAATCGCCATCCCAAAGTCAAAAGAATTCAATGTATATATAGAGTGAGAGAAATAAAAATAAAAATTTTGAAATTCTGAATAACATGCCTGTGCACAAATATACATCGATAATGAGTGTTAGAAAGCCTCTTAACACTCATTATCGATGTATATTTTGTGCATTCATGTAAGTTCTACCCATCGTAAGTTAATATAGGTAGAAAGTGAATGCAGAAATCTGCCCCTCACTTGCCTATATGGTGGGATTCCTCTAGATTTGTCATATTGCATTTGCCAAGAAATAATCTTTGCTTTATTTCGGTAGTAAAACTACTAATTAAAAATAGGCTACCAAATGCATTTCATCACATCTTAAATCTTGAATTAAATGTAACAGAAACAAACAAGTGTAGATAAATATTACTACCCTGCCGCGAGATATAACCATTAAGACCTACATTGAGAAAGATGTACTGCCCAAAGAAAATTCTATGCCATCTGTTCCTACACCCAAATGCAAATTTAGAAAATGAAAAAATAATACAGAAAGGAAACCGAAACTCATGGTACACTATCGCGATCAATCTGCAACCCTCCTACGTAGTAATCTTTGGAGTCTGTTAATGCATTCAATCACTGTTCTCATCATCATCATCATCATCTGCATACGCATAAAAGATCTTGTCAGAAAGAAACATAGTAGCTAGAAAGTTGCAACTCAAATAGTACGGGTACCAAAGTAGAGGTAAAACAGAAACGGGGCACGCCGTGTACATTATGTCTATATAGCAAAACAGAAAAACAAAAAATGCAAAATGAACTTGCAAAGGAAAGAATTTGACTTTTGAAAAAGGGTAAAAACACGCCTTTTTATATCATTGAGCAAAGATAAAGCTCCCAACATAGATTGCCACTTCTAGAGACTAAAACCAAATGAGGTCATTGTGTGGCTCCAATAGCTCCAAAAACAATACGTAAAATTTGTTTAACATGCAATTCTCTTTAGGACTCGAGAAAATGAGAAATGGCCACTCTTATGGGAATAAAACCTTGACATAAAATACCTATCCTTATCATAGCTAAAACAGAATCAGTTGAATATTATGAAGAATTTACCTGCATTAGACTCTTCACTCTGGTTGTCATCACTATTACCATTATCATTGTCCTCGTCATGGTCGTCGTCGTCATGGTCATCGTCGTCATCGTCATCGTCATCGTCATCAGTATTTTCACTATCATTTTCAACTGGCATTTTAGGCTTTGGAGGAGCTACAAAACTTGTTGTTGACCTCCTACGTGTACTAGACACAATATTGCCCGTGTCAATGCCCTCGAGTTCCTTTGCTCTTTCTTTTTTCTTCCTAACTTCCTTGATTTCTGAGCATATGTGAAATAAAAAGGCATCAATCTAACATACACCCATTATGTGACACACTAAGAACTTACCGTCTAGCATAACTTTTAACAGTATCATTTCTCCCTACAGTAATTTGACATGGAATTTCAAGCAAAAGAAAATTCAAGATAACTCCGGTAGGAAGTACAGATAACAGGCTGATCTCAACTGCCAGCCATATTTATAAGACCACCACAACAGAGGAATGTACTGTTGATACCTGATAGAAATCAGAAATGAAATAGAATATTTCTCATTATTTCCTTTATCTATTAGAAATGCAAAGAATGAAACTCTCAGGTCTGCTGTCAGTCTGTTCCTGCTCACCTTTTGGTGAGAAACATAAGCTTCACTAAAAGAAAAAAAAAAAATTTTAAGAACACAAAATACAGAAAGGTGGACACTGTCACACTGGACAAGGAGTCCTCGAAGAAGCAAACAGATACCATTGTTGAGGTCAGTCACAGTTTTACTTGAGCAAAACAATCTGTGCTCATCTCATCACCCAAAGTATTACCTGAAATTAAATGAAAATGGCAGTTCTACTTCATGCATCTCCTAAGCAAGTAAATAACCAAATCAACACTCTTCCCATGATTCCTGATTCATTTAAAACTAAAAATAGTGTTGGAATAGAACGCATTCATATCTAATTGGAATAACATTAACTAGAATCAAATTGTACACATCAAAAGCTTGATTTACCACAAAAAAAAAAAACGCAGAGAACACTCGAACCTTAAAAAAAAAAAACTCGCATAAAATGATACTGCATTTCTCAAAATTATCCCAAATTTGGACAGATAACAAATATGCAGCATTCTAGGGATCTCTTGCCATACCCAGAGTAACTTTCTATTCTAACCTTTTTCAGAGGGCTTTGCAGATAATCCTTCTTTAGAAAGGATCTCCTCTAACTCCTTTATAAGTTGTGATTCCCGTTTGTTTTCAGGAACCTGCTTGACTTTCTTGTAAACTGAGGGAGGAACACTGTAATAATGATAATTAATTCTAAGGCAGCAGCTAGTGAAAATGAAAGCTTAGAAACAGTAAGTCAAAGAAATATAACCTCAACCCACACGCTTTGATAACCGTTTTCAAATGTTCCACATGTTTTCCGTATGCAGGAGCTGAAACCACGTTCTTCTGCATTTTGAATCAAAATGTGATAAGGAGAGCTATATCACTTGATGATCATGAACTTTTATTATAAGTTACAATAAAAGCAAGTAACCTTCTTGGATTTTTCAGTAGAAGATTGCGAATCACCATCTTCAGACTCATTTCCATTGTCATCTGCATCACTATTTCTCTCTTTCAATGTTTCTGCAGCTTTGATTCTCTTCTTGCCAGAAATGTTGGTATCCTTTGTAGGTCTTTTCCTTTTCTTAGGCTCGTTATTGTCCTTTCCCTTTCTTCCAAATTTCTTTTTAGGCTTGACTTCATCTTCATCTGCATCTACATCCTCATCCTCATCACTCTCTCTCTCTGTAGAATCAGAACTCCCCTTATTACTCACCTTTTTAGCCACTTTTCTTTGAGTATTTTTCTTGGCACTCTTGGCTGGTTTAGACTCTTCTGCGGAATTTAGTACCTGAACAAACAATTACTTCTTCGTTGGAATGCTAACAAGAAGATTACTTGATTTTCTTTTATTATACCCATACCTCTTTTTCTTTCATTGATTTGATTCTTTTTTTCAATGGATATCGGAATTCATATTAAAAAAGACAAGAAATCTAGGAATTAGAATCATAAGAGTAAGAGCTGTCTTTCGATTATTTCAAATTGATTGGAATCAACACAAATCAAATAGAAATAGATGGATAGATAAGAAACACAAACTTTTGTTATGCATGCTAGTTGCTACTTCCAGAATTTAATAATGATAACAAATTCTACTCACCTCATCTACTTGTTGATTTATGAACTTCTTAAAGGGATCGAGAGAATACATTTCAAGTTCAAGATCCTTCTCCAAAAGCCGGCGAAGTCCAGCAAGAGTAAGTTGCCTAAAAAAAAGAAATAAACACACAAAAGATGAAGACTTAACTGTTTTCCCAAGCCAAATACCCAAAGAAGAATGAAAAATTAAAAAAATAAAAAACAAATCCAACTTTACCACTGTATAACAGGAGAAAAGTGGGATATAAACAGATTAGGAGCATAAAGATAGAAATTAGAAAGTATAATACTGCAATAGGAGAAAAAAAAAATCACTAAAGAAATGTAGTAACGTACTCGGACTTATCTTTAAGATACTGAGCTCTTTTCGTGACGGCTGCTTCTATTGTTCCCTTAGTCGGAGCATTTTTCTCATTGACTCCTTTGGATCCCTCAGTCTCAACTTTGGTTGTTTTTTGCCCTGTCAAAAGGCCTAATACAGGTGAGTTTTGCTGAGGACCTCCAGGTGACTCCTCTTGTTCTTCTCTTGCTTCACCTTTTCTGCCAGTCCCCACATTATCTCTTTTTTCCTCACTCTCCTCATGATTCTTTGAGTCATCACCCTCGTTGGATTCTAACAACTACAGTGAAAATACAATGAAAAGAATTAATCAAAGTTTCAGACATCTTCAACACAGAATTTACTATAACACTCGAGCACTTTCAACAACTTTCAGGAAGAGATATTTCAGACTTCAACTAAAATATAAAGATTTCCGTATGTTTCCTATCAAATAAAAAATAAAGATTCCCGTACGACAAGAAACTTAAATTTCATAATAATGTATCCATAAATAATTTATCAAAAAAAAATCATGCACGTAAATAATTAATACCAATTAATGAAAAGCAGGTTCAATTCACTCTCTAACATTGAAAGGGCAAGATCAGACGTGCCTGATAAGAGGCTATCCATCTTAGCCTTGAGGCTTAAAGATCACAAGAAAGATGCATCCCTCCATAAATTGAGGTGCGTACTTGAGGTTTAAACCTCACTCAGTTTTGGCTATTGTCTGACAAAAGTAAAACCCTGACCTGCTATTTGGGATTTTATGACAAAACAAAAGTTGTTTGGGTCCACCAAAAAAAAAAAAAAAAACAAACGATATCCCGGATTTTTTTTAATAAGCAGGATATCCCAGAATTTAGTTTGCAACAAAACAACCACATAAGATAATAGCAAACACATATCGACTCTGATATTTACCAAAGCACCTATTCTCTTCTCTGAAACTTCACAACTTTCTTAACCACCTAGAAAATTACGAGTAAAATACACGCAAAGAGAAGTGTAACCAAGAGCTACTTCACATGGAGGTGTGTACAGAATGTTACAGCAGGGAGGTTCTACAACATAACATACAGCTCCTAGAGGAACCATTATGCAATGCAAGGGAAGGCCAAAAAAAAAGGGGGGGAAGCTGCAATAAATCTGAAGTGCTTTACTAATGCCTAGTAGAAATTTTTTCCTAGATGCCTGAAATAGTCGGAAAAATAGTTTTGTAACTTTCTCCCAAATGCATCCCAAACTCCTACGGGTAAGCATTCTAAACCACCCCCTACTAATGTCTAGCAACCTGCAATTCCAACCCCATATTTTACAACAGGTGCTACTGTGTTACACATGCATATGCACTCAACTACTGTGTTACACATGCCCGGCCCTTATGAAAGTTGAATCATAAATGACCTTTACTGGAGAAGGAATGCTCTATGTAAATATGATTTATTAGTCATATGTGGAACAAAAGATGCAAAATAGAAAGAGATACCTCCTGCAAAAGCTGCTTGATGAATCTCTTGTGCACGTCCAATGTGAATGTCTCCAACCCCAAGTCCTTCTCCAACAGCCTTCGGACCCCCTCAAAAGTCAACGAACTGCAATCAACAGTAAAAGTAAAATTTCTCATTTTTGTTCCTATAGCAAACCAACCCAGTAATGGGTTGTAAACAGTACATGAAGCTAACATTTGCTTAGCTGTGAATCCTAGGGTGAAATAAGAAAAATACCACTTTTAGAGAATTGGTATCCAAATATACCACTTTTGTGGAAAACTTAAGCAGTGCTATGGGTGAATAAATAGACTTCAAAAGTGGTATCCAACCTAATTTACGCGTGCTGCCTAATTGCCTACCACTCAACTCAGTAACGGCAGATAGCTGAGCCCAATTCATCAGTATTTCATTAATAAGTAAAGTTAAGCTAAATTTTAACTTTCCAATTGATATCAAAATTAGCAGATGAAGAGAATCCATTTAGAAAATTATTTTATCCCGCTTCACAGAAAAATCTAAGTGCTGGCTACGTTTTCTACCTTTGTAACCCCTTCTTTAAATATTTTTCCCAATTCGTTTTTTTCCCTGAACTAGGAAAGCAAGCCTGAAACACCAAAAGACCAAATCCATTAAAGCCCAGATCACAAATTGACAGATGCAGCTCCAGAAAGCTTTAAACTTCAACTCCATTCTCACAAATCTTGCCATGTATGTACTTGTTTCAATCTCTAAAATAACTCTAACTCTTAATAAACCCAAAACTTTTTGCATACGCGAAATTCCAATCATCAGCACATAAATACACACAGCATAACCCAAAAACACAACTCAAACTCAACCAAAACCCCAAAAATGAAAAATCAAACGCGTTAAATCTCCAATTACATTTAGAAAACAATAAATTCCCAGGAAACACATGTACGCGCAACCACACGAGTAGATCAAAAATTCAAACTGAACAGTAGTTCCCACAGAAAAATCAGAAATTTCTCCGAAAAAGGATCGAAAAGAAAAGAAACAACAGAAAATCACAATCCGAGAGAGAGAGATAGAGAGAAGAGAAGGTGTACTCGGATTGTTCCTTGAAGTGAGCGATTCGGGCACGCATGGCGGTGTTAATCTGCGACTCGATATCTTGTTGAGGCTTTTCTTCTACTTCCTTATCGTCTTTCGCGAGTGTCTCACTGTCTTCCGCCATTTTCGAGCGCCGTTTTGTTCGCTTATGCGTGGGTTCTAGAGGTTTCTTTTCTCTTTTCTCTGCTCTCTGACTGTGACGAAGAGGAAAAGTGCAAGACTCACTCGCTGGAAATTGGATTAACCGCGGATTTTTGCGATTTCAGTCATATCAACACTGATTAATGAATGTATATTGATTATAATTTAAAAAAAAATAGAAAAATAGAAAATAGAAAACGAACCTTTAGGGCCTCGAAGGCGGGCCGGTGGAAGCCCATGAGCTGCGGCTACGCCTAGTTGGGTTGGGATTAGGGTTTTTTCTTATATCAAAGTGCAGGTTGTACATATTTAGTCTTAATAATATTAGAAATATTTCACAACTCAATGATATTTAGGTTAGGTTGAAGCAGAGTGAGGTGGGTTAGGTGGTCAGGTTCAAGATTTAAAGAATCAAAGTTCAATTCAACATTCAAAGTTTATCATCAAATAAAAATAATAACTCCAACATTTAAAGTTCATCATCAAATAATAATGATTATCAAATAGAAATAATACTGATCATCAAACATAACTCCAACATTCAAAGTTCATCATCAAATAATACTGATTATCAAATAGAAATAATATTGATCATCAAACATAACTCCAACATTCAAAATTCATCATCAAATATAAATAATATTAATCAGTCCATCGTCAAACAGATAGCAATTGAAAGTTTAATCCAACATCAAACATAAAGCAAAGTAGTCCATCCAACATGAAGTAATGGTTAGAACTTAGAGGATAAGGCCTAGGCATGTTTGTGCGGGTTGAGTTGAGGTTTGCGGGCTATTATAGGTTCAACCCATAAACCGTCATAAACACCTCAAGTCAGACATTTAGTGGACCGAAAAATAAAAAATAATGCTATAAATTGCCTTTTTCGAGTTAAGTTGGGGTGGAGTGGATTAGATTTACGGGTTTTTCAGGTTTATAAACAGCCCTAGCTACGCCTCTCTTTCATTTGGCCTGACCCAAAATAGGACCAAGCCCCAATCCTAAATAAAGTGTCCATTGTGTAGAGAGATGAAAAAAAAATTTATAGTAAATAGACCGGCTTATAAAACAATTGAAAGTAAATAATTCACATTCCCATTTTATCGTTATGCTTTCTTATATTTCTTTCTTTTTTTTCCTATCTCCTCTCTCTGTAAGTCTACAGATATCTCCTTCTCTCTCTCTTCTCTCTCTACTGTGCATTCTCCCTTCAGGCCTATGCACTGAGAACTCGTTGGAGTTTGTGAGTTTGTCATCGCCGTCGTGCAAGGGAAGCCACCACCGAACATCTGTGCACTTGAGGAGCACTGCAAGTCACCGTCACCGTTGTGCAAGGGGAGCCACCGCCACAGATTCATGCACGGGAGGAGCACCTTAGTTTTGTCGGCCATAAACGGATAGAGGAAAAGCGCAGCAACACCGGCAGTGAACGAAGAAAGAATGAGAGAGAAAGAGAAAGGAGACGGAAGGAGAGAGAAAAAAATCGAATAATTTGGAGATTTATTTTTTAAGAAAGAATTTTGGAGCGCGTTTAGAACTCGTTCCAAAATGATTTTGTTTTTTGTATGAAAATGAAAATGAAAACGTTTTCAATCTCATACAGAAATTATTTTTGAAAATGCGTTTAGTAATTTTATCAAGAGATTATTTTCAGTATAAAAAACCCATTAATGTCTCTCTATCTTTCTTTCTGCTCGAGAGAGAAGAAAACGAAAACAAAAAATGAAAAATGACTAAAAGTCATTTTTCATTTCTCTCTCATTTTACTCTAAACTAAAAAATCGTTTTAATTTCTGTTTTTTGTCTTTATTGCGCCAAACGCCGTTTTGTAAACGTTTTCATTTTTTTCTTTCTTTCTTGAAAAACGTGAAAAATAAAAACAGAATCAATTCTAAATACGGCCTTAGTTTTGCAAAATAGTTTTATATGCAGAGGTATTTTTAGGATTTTATTTGAGTATAAATCTGAACTTGTCTTAAATTGGCATGTTTACTAACTCTTTTTAAATTTAAACCTATCAATTTTTATTCCTCTTTCAAATGGACCTATTTTCCTTATTCTCCCTATGTAATATCCACAAGTTGTGATTTTTGCACATTAGTTTGTAAACCACTCACACAAAAAGGTTGTATTTGAAATAATATTATCACAATAACTATAAAATATGCAGATTAATAATATTGTTAAATTAAAGACAAATTCTAAACATACAGTATAAAACTGATCGTTTTGTATAAATACTTAAAAGCAAAAAAAAAAAAAAAAAAAAAGAGACATAAGACATTTTTTTAGAATTAACTCTTACAGTGTGTTTGGTATAATGAAAAAAGGGAATGAAAGAAATGAAGGATTTTAGAAAGGAAAATAGAATTTTAAGTTGTTTAGTAGAGAAGAAATGAAGAAAGAAGGAAAATATAAATTCATGAGGCCCACTAATTTCTAATCCTTCCAACTTTAGAAATAAAATGGGAGGGAAAAATTTTGACAAACAAATTAGGTGTAAAATAACTATTTTAACTTTAATCATTCATCATATTTTTATTTATATAAGGATATTATTATAAAATTGATTAGATTTAATATTTTCTTTTCACTTTTCTTTCTTTTCTACTAAACAATATGAGAGATAATCTCCATTCTACTATTTTACTTTTTTCACCTAGATATTTTACTTCTCCTTCCTTTTTCTTTTAATCCATCCTACTAAACATAACATTAAAATTTAATGTGAAATACATATTGCATCCTCTATTTAGTGTTGCTCCGTTTAAGTTGTTTAAGTTAGATCTAGTTTAATAAAAAGAAAATTATAATTAAGAAGGTCAATAATAAAAATTTTATTTGTATAATAATAGTTTTGAACTTTTGTCAATAAAAAAAGAAAAGAAAGACTAGACATATAACAAAATTTCATAAGTCACAATAAAATATAACAAAAAAATTATATAATATCTATAAAAAAAATTGAGTAGAAATAATTACTACCTAGATTTTAGTATAACCGTGAATAAGATTGTGATAATTGTTATATATCTTTTGCTATTCCTAAAATATTTTAAACAAAATTCTATCTACCAACTCCATTCTCAAAAGTTGTTCACGTAGTTTAATTTTTACTTTTTCTTTTGTTGTCAATATTGTATCTTTTTCTATTGTTTGTCATGATTGTTTCGCCTCTTATCTACTAGATGCATGGTTAGAAGGGTAAAAATTGAAAATAAAATTTTTTTGAGATATTTAAAATAGTGGCAATTATCATAATGACATTAGTTTTTTTAAAAATACTTTAAAAAGTTTTTAATATATTTCAATCTATAAATTTTCCCTGATTTAGTTTCCTTTTTAGTTAAATGTTTTTGAACTCATGAATCAAATGTCACTTAAATTTTTAATAGTATGAATTCTAATATGTGATTGTAACAGTTTTATCTCGTGCATTGTAAGTTTTAAGCATGAACAATTACATATTAAACCGTTAAAATATTAATTTAACAGTTAAAATAATAATTTTTATTGATAGTTAAAAAAAATCCCAACCATAGAAGTTCACTAACATCTATTATTAAGAGATGTAAGTACACAATAGTAACTGTAAGCTTAGTAAGATTAGTAGTAGACATAGTGCGTATTTATAAGCTATTTAGTTTCAATCAAAGGTGTGCTACTTTTTGGGTGCAACTTTGGTACGTTTATTAAAGAAAATTGTTGAACTTATTTATTTTTAGAGTGAATAAATCTGAATTTTTATTCTTTATTTTTTATTAAAACCTCTTTGACAATATAGTTATTTGTTAATAAAATATGGAACTCTAATGAATATTTGTCTCTTTTTTTATTATTATTATGAGCCGTAATCTCATTTTTATTCTTGATTGCTGGCCTCAATTTCAACCTCATGCTCACCTGAACTTGAAGGCTGAAGCTATATATATATATATATATATATATATATATAGATTGTTCAAAAATTCAATCGTTTCATCAAGCAACGAAGCCTTAGTAGTAGTAGATCTGTTACTAGGGAGAAAAACCGACTAATGTTTACATTACAATTGATAATGTGATCAAGCCATGATGTGGCATAATACTGTTTAATTTAAGAGTCAACTTTACATTATCCAATTTATTTTTATTAATATTATTATTTTTTTGCAAATTCACACTACCCAATCCTGCACTTTATTAAAAGAACAAAAAAAACATACAAACTAAAACTTTTTTGTTAAATTATATTGTAGGAGCATTTCATAAAAGGCCACAGCCACAAAGAAAGAGGTATTACTGATAACACTTTTTTTTTTTTTTTTGGGTTAGTGATACTAATAATAAAGGTCATTGTTATAAACTGAACCAGGTCATTGCTTCCACCCGAAAAAATTGACCATTGCCTTGTGAAAATAATTAAAGAGAAAAACGACACTGGACTACCCTAGAATTTGGGTCTTTAGCATTTTGATCCCCCTACTTTTTGGTTTTGGCAATTTTCTCCCAAAACTTATAATTTTGGTAATGTACCCATTTTGCTTAGCTTCTCATTAAATTGGTGTTATCATGAGTTTGAACCCTAGAGTGGGCATGGTTCTGAAAGCACACCAACTAAAAGTCTAACCTCTTATTCAGTTGCATTTTTAAGTTATAATGATTTGAGTATAGATTTTGAGTTCAATTTGAGTTATAATTTGAGTTGGAGTTGTAACTTGAGTTTGTGTTTAGTTGTGTACATTTGAGTTATGATTTGAGATGAGAATCTTTTTGAGTTTGTGTTTGGATGGGTCAAAACTTGAGTTTGTATTTATATAGTATTTTAATAAAAACTCAATGATGATGAAAAATTTTAATAGGGTATATGGGTGAGTTTTTATTCATCTATTCGTTGTGAACGCATAAAAAAAAATTATCTCAATCGGAATTAAAACGAAAAAATTATAGCGTTTTTAAGAATACAAAAAATATTGCTCATTAACTTGAGTTTGAGTATAAGAACTTGAGTTGAAGGGGAAACTTGAACTCAGATTTTAATCTCAAACTCAAGTTAAAATTCAAATTAAAACTCAAGTTCAAACTCAAATTTTACAGAAGAACACGAACTTGAATAAAGTTGTACTTAAGTTCAAACTTTTTTTGAGTTTGGGTGTAAACGAACAAGCCGTAACCTGAGTAAAACATGTATTTGTTACAGTAAAAAGCTCTCAGAAACAGTCACATCTAACTTTTTTACTACAGTAAAAAACTCACATAAAATCACATCTCAACTCGAATTAAAAACTCAAATCAGCGAACTAAATGAGTCTGTAATAATTTATTCATGTATGTTCGTTTCTTTGTAAAAGTTTAGGATTATAAAGTTTTGCTCCACATGTATCCATATAAATATATAGTATGACTAGGATTTGGTGCTTAAGCCTATAAATACTTGGTTCTTGAGCCAGTTTCATGTTGATGGGCACTTCGAAGTGGTGAGATATATATAAGAGTTGCATTTTGTTTGGGTAAACATTTGCTTAAGATTGATAAATGGGCTTCTTTATAGGAAAATTTCCAACTCGCAAATGTCAATATATATATATAAGAAATAGTAAAAAATAATCAATATGAAAAATTTAAGAAAATATATAGGCTAATTTTTAGTTATAAAAATTAATAGGCCATAACTTGTCAAGTTATGGTTCATAACTAGATAAGTTATAGACAAACTTGTCAAGTTATAGTTCATAGCCAGACAAATTATGGACAAAAATCGTGAATTATGGACAATAACTTATCAAGTTATCGTTCATAACCAGACAAGTTATGGACAAAAATAATAATTTGACCTATTTATTAACTTATGTAAACTATTAACTTATTAATTTTAATTCATTTTAAATCTTGACCTATTTCCCTATTTTTCCCTATATATATTTATACACACACATGAGAAAACGACGATTGAGATTTTTTTTTAATTAAATTACAGAACTAATTTTGATATCCAACTACACAACATAAGCAATTCCAGACGTAGTCCCTAAGCCCTATGATGGAATTGATGGAAAAGTATTACAGAATTTGGTTACACATCTCGGCTCAGTGAGGTTACTGTATTGAATATGTAGAAAGCGATATTTAAGGCATCATTCATTTCACCGATTCGAGTTTTTAATTCTAGTTTTACTATAATTAAAAACTCTCACATAAAATCACATTTCAACTCGAATGAGTGAACTGAACGAGACCTAAAAATTGACTTTTTGTAACGAAAAGGAAAAAAAAAGTCTATATATAACTATAGCGGCTGTTCGCTTCGCCGATTGAAAAGGACTTTCTAAGCTTGAATAAAAAGTTCAGGCCCCGTTCATTTCACCGATTCGAGTTTAAAATTCGAATTTTACTACAGTAAAAAACTCTAAAAAACAATCACATCTAACTTTTTTACTACAATAAAAAACTCTCACATAAAGTCACATCTCAACTCGAATTAAAAACTTGAATCAACGAACTAGAACCCTGAAAATCTAGTTGATGATGCAAGCTCAGTTTACTTTAATTCAAACTGATGATGCAAGTTGGATATTTGGGTCATTTTTCCTACTGTCCTTCCTACGGGACTCTAATGGCCTTCCATCCTTCCTACTGTCCTCCTTCCTGCCAATCATATGTACCATTTCTTTGTTTTGATCAAATTTCAAAAATTCACACTAAAAATTGCAAAAACCTTGTACAGAAGAAAAACATTGATCCCCTTGCCTCCTACCACAATTTGAAAGATTATTATAATTCTCCTCATTCTTCATATTTCCACGGCCTTCCATTCTTCCTATCATACCATCCCTCCTTCCTCCCCTACCAATGGTAAGAAATTAAAATTTTGACATAAAAATTCGGACTAAATTTCAAAACCATGTACATAGGAACAACATTAATCACCTAATAAGAAGACAACCAGCTAAACTGAAAGAATCAAATGAAAGAAACAAAACTCTTAGCATAGCTTAGCTTTCATCACAACCTGATGGGATCTCCAGTGCTACAAGATAGGACTAGTTGCAGAGGATGTTGGGGGAACGACACCATCCGTAGCAAGATCGCTCGTGCTTGGAGAAAAATAAAATAAAATAAAACAGCTTCTATTTTATTTATTCTCATATCTACCTCTATTCGGTTTTCTGATTTGTTATCTTGTTTTCGTCCTTTGGTAAATAAATAAGAAATACAATCTAACATAAGAAATCATACGGAACTCAAGTCACTTCAAAGAACCTGAAGCCTGTATCAGAGAACACACTACAGTGTGCACCCACTGTTAATCATCTAATTTGCTTCCCGGCTTGACAGCTAAGATGTAAAGAAAATTTTCTTGACATTCCGTTGGTTTGGGTTTGGGAACCAAATTCCGCAATTTAAGCCTCACTTGTTAGTTTCTGCAAACGAAGCTGGTTACAAAATGTCTTGCAAGAAAAAACATATAGAACCTATTGACAGTAACGTTACAGAATACAAGAAGCAGTTATACCCAATATACCAAATGTGCTTTCAGATGAGCATAATTATGAATATGAAAATTTTCTCTTCAAGTTAGGCGCAGAATCATTGTCTGATTGGGCCTGACCAAAGACTGATCTGCACGTACCAAAGACAACTAAGAATCGAGAAAAGTAGAGACCCAAAGGGTAATGTTTAATGGATTCCACTTCATTGCATTCTCTTTGCAACAATTAATATGACAAAAGTTATGAATTTCTTCGAACAATAACCAGCTCCACTGCAGTATTTACTCGTCAGTAATAGGCATCTTATCACGACATTAATAAGCATAAATCATTAAGTTGCTACAAGGGCATTGGTCCAAATGTGCATGTTCATAAACGAATAAATTTGATCTTCCCCAACATGCCTCAAATCCCAGACTCAATCCACAATACATGCCAGTTACCACGGAGCTCTGCATGCTGCTCAACCTAAATTCCTAATATCAATTTCATAGTCAATTGACACAGCTCTCACTTTCCTACCATGCTATTATTACCTATGTTTCTAACTTAAAAAATTGAATAAAGACGTTTCTTGCTTAGTCCTAAATAACAATGACTAAGAAAACTATTCTCTTGATACTTCTTTATAGCCTTTCTCAAAATGGCAATCTTAAATTCAGTTTGGTTCTTTTCGTTATTCTCTCTCTCTCTCTCTCTCTGTTTTTCTTTTTCTTTTTAAATTCAATGATAAGAATAAATGTTAATAACACTCGACAGAGAGAAAGTTGCACTTATGCACTTGCTTCCTAATTTCAGAAGTTTCTTGGTTCAGCTAGGCTCAAGCTTTCTTATTCTGATCTATGGAACATCCATGTTTGGTAACAAACAAAGATTTCGTAATAAAAAATAAAAAATAAAACCTTCAAGAGGAAAATTCTTGAAAGCACTCCAGAATAGTGGGTGCATAACTAGAAAGGGAGAAGTAGTACGTACCCGCAGGTTGAACATTTCTTGTGATGCTTGCAGAATATGGACAAGCAAACAGAACATATGTAGCCCATGTCTATTGTTTTCTTATGGCAAAAACACCTGCGAATTTCAATTTTTGATTATGTGCTTTGTAGATGAAAATGAGATTCAGCAGCAATAGATTAAGCTTTTGAGAAATATTTTATCTTAAAAGATTTAATGAAATGGGATGTTATGGGAGTTAATATAAAGGCAAAAGATCTTATAACCAACTTTCAGAAGTCTTTGACGTTAAAAGACATTAAAATCTGGACTCAATCTAATCAATATCTTTCGACACGAGATACTTTGGAAGAGCCAACGATAAAATTTCACATACGAAGCTCGAAAATCCACACCAACAGACTTCGGAAGCTGTAAAAAGGTCCGAGAATGCAAATCAGTTGCAAAAACTGTCTGCAAATAGGAACAAATCATGTTCGCATCAGTGAACTGAAACTACAAACAAATGGTGTTCATTTCGATACACCATTTTCGTAAATAGATTTTCCTGTTTCTATCAATTCCTAATGAATTGCATATTAAAATCTTAAACAGAACACAAGACTTTTAGAAGTTACAACAAGAGTTACAACCACAGGAGGTAAACATTTTCATAGAATCCATTTAACTTCACAACTTACTGATAGATACTGAAACAGGCCGTCAGGTTGCTGGGGCTTCAAATACACACCCCCGGTTATGTAAGATGCCTGTTACTCATCCATCACAAACATTTATTAAAGTGGTTAAAAGGATTGTCCTACATAAGCATTAAGTATCTGTAAGGAGATGCAAGTTATAGATACAAACCTGCTGCAGGAAGGCAGAATTATTGGAGCCTAAATAGCAAGAATCTATTGGAACCTGAAAGAGAGAAAATTTGTGACACTTTGAACATTCATTTTGAACTTATAAACCATCAATCAAACACAGCCATAAGACGGGGAAAAAAAAAGCTGATAGAGACAACAAACAATAGACTTAAAAAGACATTCTACCAATTCCATTTTTCGAAAGTAGAACAAATTGACACATTTCCATTACATTCTACCAATTCCATTTTTCAAAAGTTGAACAAATTGACACATTTACATTGGTTCCTTTGATATTTGTACTGATTCACAAAATATTGTTCGGTAGTATAACCAAGAACTAAAAAGAATTGAATTCATACCATAGAACGCTGTGCAGAGAATATGGCATTCATGATTGCCACATACCTGAAAGGTGAATTAAAAATAAATAAAGCACAGACATGACTGAAAAGAAAATAAGAAACACGGAATATTCTCTTCAGCCAAAAAAGAAAACACGATTAAAAAGAACATACTGTTCGGGCCCATCTGAAGATCCCTGCAAGCATAAAATCTGCCATCCATATAATAGCAAAAATAGTTAAAATACATTAAATTTAAAGAAGTGAAAAGAAACTTTCAAGGCCAATGGAATGTAGTCTCTTACAAACAGCATTACTAAAGTGAAAAATCACAGACAAACACTAACCAAAAGAAAACCTAAAGGACCGGTGATTATATCATTATCCTAGAAACTGATGTCCAGCTATTCTTAATAGCAAATAATCCTGCTACCATAACATGATGTATCAAACTTTAGAGAATAATCTTTGGCAACAAATATCAACAACTTTATATGCAATTAAACATTACTAAGACTGCTCTAACAAATTACACACACGTCTCCATCAGGTTTTTAGAAACGCTGTTCTGGAAATGCAGCTTGTAATACACTGACATAGTTAATAAACCCATGATCAATAGTCAATTCAGAAGATTATAGCATTCAGTGGCGGAGCCAGGATTATATTTCAAGAGGGGCATAGATTAAAAATGTGAAGAATTTATCAATGCTAATAATATCAACTACTAAACCTATTAACTAGTTGGAGCACATTTTAAACACATACATATTATGCCTTATAAAGTCTTAGCACTATAATGGTTGCACATACTTTTACGCTTAACTATGCATAACATAATTAACATGCTTTATGCACTTGACAGAGAAACAATGTTTAAGAGAAAATAGTAATTGAGAGTGTTACTTAAAAAAAATAGCTTAGGGACATATTTGAAAAAGATCATTTAAATTTTTCTCTGAGGCTCACTTTTGATATGATAAAGATCACATGAAAGAATATTTTAGAAGGGACAAATTTGGGAAAAAAAAAAGTTTTAACTGGAGTAAATTAGAGAAAAATAATTCAATTAGGTATACTATGAAGTATAGAATTTAATAAGAAAGAACCAAAAAACAATTAAAAAAACCAACTAGTTTAAAAAAATATTTAGATTGGATTTAATGGAGATATTTTGAAATTTTTATCAATAAAAGGGGGACATATAAAAAAAAAATTTGAGAATTTATGGGGTAAAATTTTAAAAACCAAAAATTCAGGGGGGGCATATGCCCCCCTGGGCCTCACCTGCCTCCGCCGGTGATAGCATTGATTCATTGGTAATTCAACACCAAAGAAATCTATCTAAATTGCCAGTCTACAATTCTACATCACATATGAGCACATCATCTAGTCATTATTGCCAAACAACTGATTAACTTAAAGAACATAATTATGATAACTTAAAAGCAGTAGCAAAATTCTCACCCGCGGCTGTGGATGGAGCGGTCCTGATCGAAAAATTTTCTGTATATCTACCCAAAAAAATTAAGTTCAGCAAACTCTTAAATCAAATAGCTTCCGCAAGACTTGTACTTATTTCAAAATCAAATCCTATGATTGCAATCTCTCAAAAATTGAAAACAATTACCCTTCACTTTAGACTCTAATTTCGCACCAAAAGAAAAAAATGATGTAAAAATGCACAGAATTTCAATAAAAGAGGATACAACAAAGAGCCATAGACAAAGACCCTGAAAGCAGGGAAGAGGCGAGCCCATTTTCGGAGCCTTCCTTGCACAATTGCTCGTCTCTGACAACGAATTCCTCCAATTTCTGCAACAAGTTCGAGCAAAGCGCCGGCATTCTTCCATTTTCCAAACCTCGGCTCGTGGACACAGAAGAATCAAAGATGTAGTCGCAGGAATTGTATCCGGTGGCAATGACTGCGACTTGATTGAGCTGATTGAGAAGTAGAATCGAGTTCAAAAACGATAGTACCTGGAAAAAAAGGAAATTAAATCAGAAAATAGCGATTTACCATCTGTTTGGCTGCCGAGAAAAGCAGCGGTAAAGAAGATGAAAAAGAAAAAGATCCAGTCGAATTCGATAAAAAACAATCAAGAGAAACCATAAGAATACGATTTGATTCACGCAAAAGGAATAATAGTAGTTACTCAGAATGGCAATTTCGTTCAATCTCGGCAACCAAGTAGTAGTTTAGGGTTTGTTCAAAGCAATTTTTGTACATAGAGAGAGAGAAAGGGGGCGGAATTACATGAGAGAGAAAGTTGGAGAATGGAAGAGAAGATGTGCTCCAGAAGAGAGGATTGGTGTCCAGAAGCACCATGAGAAGGCTAACATCGTCTGCGTAGAGCTTTGATGGAGCAGAAGCCATGACTGAGTGTGCTGCCACTGCCAGACTAATCTCGCTTCAATTTTGGAGGCAAATTATTGGAAACAATTCACAATTATGGGGTATAGATGTAAGTCCGAACTCTATTTATGGGTGAACAAAAATCCCGACAAGGAACCTGATAAAGAGCGAGGTTGTTTGGTTAGGGGATTCGTCCCCTCATTTGAATTATATTTCGTAATTTATTATGTAAATTAAAAATAATTTTAATTCATTTAAAATGAGTTTGAGTTAAAAGAGTTTTTCAACTTGATCCAAACCTACATAATCTATTATAATTATTTTTAATTTATGTGTATTTTTTATGTGAAAAAATATTATAACGAATCATAAATTATGATTCAAATTATTACATAAATCTCTTTACTAAACGTATCTTTAATATATATATATATTTTTATAATATTATATTCTTCTTATATTTTACAATTTATACATTTAAACTTATTTTGCATATATTTTAAAATTAATCCTTTATTTTATTGTTTATTACTTATTAGACAATTTTAAACTTTACAAGATTAATATTATAATAAAAATTAACTTTTTTTTTATACATTTCTAAAATGATTAGCTTTATTTTTTTATAATGTGCCCAAACTTAATTGGATGGGTTAAAAAATCTTAAAAATCTACTTAACACACTCGATGTTTACCTTTAAATTATTATTTGTGTCGACTTACTCTAAACTTAAAATGTGCTTGTTAAGCGCGTATGATTTACAAAATATATCGTAAGTTTATCCCCACTTCAAAATGAATTCATGGAAATGCACTTTATGGTGTTTGCTATATTATTTTGAGCTTAATGAATATCCTACCTCTAACAGTTAATAGATTACTATATCAGTAAGAATGTCTTTATGTTTTTTGCTTTGATACGTCACGTTTAATACTTCACAACTCTATTTTTAAGATTTCTGTCCAACAAAAATGATATACAATGTTGCGAGTGAAAATTGAGTATTTTGAATAGAATTTAATTATATCCTTTTCCGTTTCATACGGGGGGAGATACAAATTTCTAAAGTAACGAAGAGAATGAGGACAAAATGAGACTCAGCACTAATACTAGAAACATAACTCTATTAATTTTGCACAAATTCTTTAGTTTTCAATTTTTTTATTGGTGGGTGTTTAAAAAATTATTGGATCAATTAATAATAAGAAATTTATACCTACCAATAAAAATAATGATAACTCAAGAGTTGAACGAAAATTAGAATTATTGTGTCTCTAATATTATTTGAACTCAGTCATATTCGTTTATTATAGCTACATTTCTTTTTGGGATATTGTAGTAAATAACATATTTATGCAATTAAATTAAATAAAAAATATATTTCAAAACTGTTTGAAATAAATAATAATTTACCATGTAAATATTTCTTTTATTGCTGGTAAAAAGTAATTTACATAGTAAAAAATATTTACCTATGTGGAAAAAAATATTTTTCTAATCGTAAAAAGAAAATTTACATAGAAAAAAGTGTTTTTATTGAATTTAATTTCATAAATCTGTTATTTACCACGTTCTCCTTTTTATTTTCTCTGGTTTATTCTAGCTACTACACAATAATGAGAGAGAATTTATTGTAGTTAGGAACAAAATTAACCTCACTAAACATTCAAGTGAAAGAAACCGTCTAAAATTTTATTTTATTTTTAATTGGACTAACATTGCAATGAACTTTAAAAATTAAGATGTAAATTGTCAGGATTAAAAATTAACGTTTGGTTGGAGGATTCAAACCATGTGATTCGAACCATTTTTGATTTATGTGAATTTTTCGTGAGAGAAAATACTGTAACGAATCACGAACCATGATTCGAATCAGGGAACAAATCCCTCCACCAAACATCATTTGACTCATTTGCCAAACTCATAGAGTGAAGAGGGTATACGTTTTAAAAATAAAATAAAAAAATAAAATAAAAGCAAAAATAAAATATCTCGATTACATGGAACGAGAGTTTGTCGGCGATTGGAAGCAGTTTAGGGAGCACTTTAGGCGAGTGGCATAAGCATCCTCCGCTTACTGAAGAATGCATGACAGACATCGAACGAAATACGCGACTCCAAGGCGGATCTAAAGGAGTAGTCATTTTTGAAATATGCACGCGATTTGAGTGCTTAGACCAACTGGTCGTTTTCTGCATGTAGAGTTTAGATGAATGTATTCTCTGATGTCAATTTTGTTCACTGAAAATACGTGTGGGAAAAAAAAAATAGTGATTTTGAAGAGTTGGAAAACAATTTATGTATAGCTTGACATGACAATTTATATGATCCCTGCTGATTACATTCAAGGTCTAACAAGATAACAGCTTCAGTTTTGCTTCTCTTTCTTCAGATAAATGCTATTTTCCAATCAGTTCAATGATTCAATTTCTTTAGATAAATGGCTATTTTCCAATCAATCACATTCTCAGAGAATAATACTCTCGACTATACAGGAAGATTTTAACAGAGCAAACCAACAGTCATTCAAATTTTGTGAATGCCAACAAATAAAATGCAGTAACCTTGGGCAATAAAATGCAGGAAAGCCAAAGCTGAACTAGAAAATGAATACAGAATATGCCATAGAAAGGGAAGCTGCACATAGTATTTTATCCAGCAGTTAACCACTAAAGGAAAATAGTAATTGCCCGAAATCCCGATTCTTTTCGATATTCGAAAGTTCAGTTCTATAGTTGAAAACAAATAGAAGGTTAAATACAACAAAAAGAACCACCTGACATGAAATGAAGCAACCGCGTACACAGGACAAAACCTCATCTTCTTCTAAGTATAGCTGATGAGCAAAACTATTACAAGATGGCAAATACGAACTTGAAAAAGAAAAATAACAAGGATGCAATTGGGAAAGTGGCTAAAGAATTCACCAAGGAGCAAGCATCGGAAGCACTTCCCAGGGGTCCACCGACGGGCGCCAATCCTGGAAGGGATCCGGTCGTCGAAGGCACCAACGAGGATCTTGGTGCCAATGTTCTGAGACCATCCGACTGAGGTGCAGGTGATGGTGCAAACATCGAGTCCCTAATTACCGAAGTAGGTGGTGCTATAAGCGGAGGAAACTGTTGTGCCCCTGCATCATGTTTTGGAATGCAATGCAGAAACAAATTGAGTTGATAATAAATAAAATTAAATAAATAAATATTTAAAAAAAAAAGAGTTGAATGAAGTAAATAAGCTACATCTCTTAGCACCTAAACTCAAGACTTTACATGTGAAGTGATAATTTGTTGATTTGCCAACAGGATTCTGTTGTCAACAAATACTCTGCTAAGAGTTTAAACAAAGGCAGTCATTTGGCACCTAACTAGAATGCAAAAGTTCGATAATTAATCTTCTCAATTCACAAGCACAACACCATTGGCTAAAAAAGGGTGAAAAAGTAGAGAACATCAACCAAATGCTTAATTATAGGGAGAGAGCAACACACTACAAAGTGAAATAATTAAGTTGGCAATTTCACAATGGGATTCAATCATCAACGGTAAACATAACCCAGTAAGAGTCCGAACAAAAGTAGTCTTTCAAGACCTAATTATATATGAACCAATCCAATACTCCATTGCTGATCACCTTAGCACCAACAACATCATTAGCAAATGGACACGTGTGTGTATGCAAATAGGAAGAGAAGGGCAAAGAAACTTGTCTAGAAAAAGTATACAGAACCACATGGATGCATTCATACTTGAAAACTTGAAATAAAACGTTTTTCTTGTGCACCTTCAGTTCACAAATATACAGCATTGAGGGACTATTTACCTGGGCAGCGAGGTTGAAGAGATGTAGACAGCCTGCAGAATAGAAATTAATGAGTTAGTATAAATACTTCAAAACACATACGAAAAGAAGAATTGAACAAGATAACATACGTTGTGACAATGGAGCCGTTCACGAAACCACCATAATTACAAGAAGTGACGTTGCAACCAGCACTACTCTGCTGTGCCGTGTAATTACCAACCATCAGGTTGCTATTTTTACATTGCATGCTCGAACAGGAAACCGCTAATGAAGCAGGCATGCAGTACAACCTGTACAAAGTTGCCCAATTAACTTTCACTTATTGTTAATATTGTTATTATTATTGTTATGATAAGAAACTAAAAAAACTTTCACTTATGTTCATAATCATTAACCAACATTAACCACAAGATCATATTCTAAAAATGGGACTAAAGTTCTTCCGTTACTTGAGATTTCCCGGCCCACAGCTGCATTGAACGCAGTGACTTGCGGTAATGGCATAGCTTCCATTAGGCACGATTAAGCTGAAATCAGAGGCATATCGCGGGAAGTTTGATGCACAGGCTGCAAGTGCAACACAACAAATTACCAGTATGGCCATTACTAATCTAGGTTGTCAGCATATACGCAAATACAAAAGGAAACAAAAACAATTAGAATATGTGAAACATCAACTAAGGAATAAACCCCGTATTTTTCTTTCAAATCTATCTCAACTAAAAACCACATGATCTCTCATGAAAAACAATGTTATATACAGTATCAGCTGCTGCAGTTATAACACGAATTTCTTGCACAAAGACCACCATCAAACGCGACAATAGAATTTGAAAAGTTCGCCTACGAACCAGAAGTATCAAAATAACTTCACCACAAGAATCACACATAATTTTCCGCAAAGAAGAAAGGTGGGAGAAAAAAAAACAAAAGACACACAAAGAAATAGCACAGAAGACGAAAACAACCACAAAATTTGGAATAGCTGAAAAAGAAAGAGCCCCATTGCTTTTCCACTTCAAAGTTTGAAATAACTAAGAGAAGAACCTCACTTTTCTCTTTTCACAGGAAAAACAAACAAATATAAATTAACGAATTACTAAATTGCATAACTGATTATGCACATTTCATGCACCAAGACCATCAAACAACAAGAAAACTTGGAAAAGCTTGCTTAAAACATGGAATAACAAATAACTTCACCACAAGAGTCAAAGATACACAACCTTATTCCAGATACGTAAATAGCAAAATTTGAAATGACTAAGAACAGAAAAAAAAAAAAAAAAAAAAAAAAAAAAAAAAACCCCATTGACACCCAATGTTATAAAACAACATCAACTGCCGCAAGAAAAATAGAAAATTTTTGCAAATAACTTAACCAGAAAGTCACCTACCAGGTAGTGGAACCGCAAGTATATCCCCATCCTTAATGGAAGTACTCCCCATGGCATTGACATTCATCAAATCCGTAATGGTGGTCCAATACCTCGCGGCGATGGCGGCAAGGCTATCCACCGGCCTGACGACATACGACAAGTAGATGGCGGGCAGGGAGTTATCCGTCCCATTGAAGCAGGTGCAGGGAAGAGGCACAGTAAGCGTCTGCCCGATGTCAAGAACCGAGGGGTCCGAGATCGAATTGGCCTCCCTGATCTGGTCAGAAGACACTAGGCCGGCATAAACGGAGTCGGCAATGGAGGAGAGCGTGTCGGAGGGGCGGGTCTTGTAGCGGGTGGAGACGGACTTGCGAATGCCGTCGACGCAGGAGCAGTTTATGGGGATCTTGAGGAAGAGCCGGGCGGGGAGGATGTGGTTTTCGACGTCCGGGTAGGAGATGTCGATGGCGTTGGCAGTGAGGACGGCAATGGGGTCCACCTGAAAAAGGGAGGCAACCTCCGAGACCTTCAGCTCGGTGTAGAGGGTGTACCCGAGAAGGGCATTGCACGAATCGGAGTTCGAGCATGGCTCGATTGTTGATTTCGAGCTCACCAGAACTACCACATTGCTCGTCATCATCATCATCAACAACAACAACGAGAAAGATAACAAAATGGGATTTTGGTTTGCCATTTTCTAGGGGGTTTTGCCTTTTGGCTTAGCACAGAGAAAGAAATTAGTGTTGGTGAGAACCAAAAAAGATTGGATTTTTCTTTCTTTTTGGGTCTTTAGAAGAAGTGGGTTTTGCAGAAAATGGGGTTTTGATATGCTATTTTTCTGGGCTTCCTTTTTTTTTTTTTTTATGGAAGAGCAGAGAAATGGGATTAAGAGAAAAAGGTGGGGTTTTTGTTTAAAATTTTTCAAGGTGTTTTCAAGACAGATGAAGATTAATAATGAAGCTTTTGACTCAAAAGTTGCTTTTTTTTTTTTTTTTGAGGTGGGTTTTAGGGTTTTTGTTGTGTTCTGCTTTGCTACTTTTGCTGTGCTCTTGCAAATTCAACCAAGTAGACAAAAAAAGAAACAGCAAACTAAAATGGCTGAACTAAATTTCGACACAAAAAAAAAATCACTTATTTTCTTAATGATGTTTGAAATGTGAAGGAGAATAACAGTGCAAAAACTCACCGGATTCTGGGTTTGGATTTCTTAACCAAACTGTGAGAGAGAGAAGAATGGGAAAGTTTGTTTGAAAGAAAAGAAAAGAAAAGGAAAATATTTTATTTTATAAATGAAAAGCTGGAAAGAACGGACAATCGTATTGGCATGGAGTGAAGTGAACAGACAGAGGTCAGATTCTTGAGCAAAGTGTCCGAAACGTTACTTTCATTTTTGGACTAATATGTCCTCACCAAACCCGCATTTTATCGCCTTCTGAAACAAGTTGGAATGCTGTCGTTTTTCTATCCTTTAGGCTTCTTGTTAGTCGGCCCCTGTCGTTTCCTGTAAACTGCGGTGTTTTTCACTGTTGTGAGTGGGGGTGTTTTGGTACTTTCGTTGTTTCTGCTTTTGAGATTTATGGGAATCAAGGTGTGGCCCACATTAATAAACCCTTTGGGGGGTTTTATCGTATGCTTTTCAGCATGCGAGGAAAGGAATTTGTCTGGGGGTTTTCTCGCTGTTTGGACATGGAATGGTATTCCGGGTTTGGGTTTGGGATGGCATTTAGGTGGGAGACGGCTGTCACTATCTCCGCACAAGAAGGGACCATCCCCCATTCTGATTTGAACAAATTTGAGAAGCTTGTACTAGATGTTAGTTCTTGTTTCTAAAAATCTTCTAAAATTACCAAATATCAAAGTTTCAGTCGAATAATTCTTCTTGTCTTAATGATTAATGAATATCAGAAAAAGTCCTTAATAATTATTATTGTTTATAAAGTTTTATTTAGATCTAATGAAATAAATTGTTAGATCCATTACTATTCATAATTTCCTCATTCCTGTCTCTTACCTTGATCCCCACCGCTCAATCCTAAAACGGCCCCTAATGGTGCTACTTTTGTCATCTATAATGAAACCTTTTGGTCTTGTTAATGGTGGGAGAAAACCCGAGACAGTCGGGGGATAAAAAGAAAAAGAGAAAATTAAGAAGACCAAATCAAAGTGTATCATAGTGCTGAAACTTTGGACGGACCGTCTGTGATCACTGAAAATTCTAAATTTTTATCCGATGACCGAACCCACCTAAGCCTGAATTTTCAAGTTGCCCGACTCGACCCAAGCAAGCTTTTAGACGGGCTTGGGGCAAGTTTTGACTGCCCGAGACCGCCCGAGGTTTTGTATATTTATATACTATTATATATTATATATAATTTTATTTATTAATTGTATATGGCATATATATAAATAATTTTTAAGTTATTTATTGTAAACATTATACAAAAATTATAAGGGATATTACAATTTAAAATTTGAAATGCACACGAACTATACAAACAAATAATTTATTTATTAATTTTGAATTTGTAATTCATGATTGTCTCGTTAAAAATCTAACCAATAAAACTCAATTGGGATAAAAACTTGATAAAAAAAAATGCAGTCATTTTGGGACGAATTACAAATTTGACAAACTTACAAAGTCTATACAATATTACAATAACATTGTACAAAGTAAATAAATATTTACAAATTACAATAATATAATTTAATTTGAAGCTGAAGGATCGTCTTCAAAATTAAAAGTTAATCTACTAAATTCATCGATCCATTCTTCGCTTGCCGGTGAAATTGTATCATGTAAGCAACGATCCCAATCCTTAATGCACACCAAAGCTTCAACAATGTCTTGTTCCAGTGCGTTTCTACGTTCCTCAAGTATTCTGCTGGTCGTACTGAAGGCTTGTTCAGATGAAACAGTGGAGACTGGGATCGAAAAAATATTCATTGCCAGTCGAGTTAGGATCGGCCAAGTTAATACTCGTGCCCTCCATAACTGAACCAAATCAAACATTTCACTATTGTCGACTACTAAGCCCTCACTCAGTTACGCCATTAACTCGTTAAAGCCGCCGTTGTTGCCACCACCTCTTGATGAAGATCCACTCCCAGATTCTCCTTGACCTTGAGTCGTCGTCGTCGCCTTATTCTTCTTCTTCAACCTGAAAATATTCAAAAATGAATGCATATTGTCGTCTCGTTGTTGCGGTTATTTTACACGATGTGTGTTTCTAAACCTACTTTCATAAGAGTTATAGAGAGATAATATTTTTTCCTTTATAATAGGAAATTGGTCATAACAGTCGATATCTAAAAAGTCACCTAAGTTTTTTAATCCACTTTCTAAACCTTCTAATTTTAATATAGGATCAAAAATAACACCGAAACCATATAACATTGGTAATTTAGCCCAATATTTTTTAAACTTCTTTTCCATATAAGCGATAGGAACTCCTAAAATCTCGTGTGTCCTAAATTCACTAAATAAAATAGTCATTCTTAAAAGTTCTCCTAATGCTAATGGTGACGTTGGGTAATATGTTCCACTAAATTTTAAAGTAACTTCATGAAATCATCCTAAAATGTTATACAAAAGTTTGACAATTTGTCAATCAGTTTGGTTTATAAATACTGGTCATAATTTTGCACTAACATAGTTTGTTATAACATTTTTATAGGGGATGCATTGTTCGAGCGTTATATAAGTGGAGTTCCATCTTACGGGAATATCTAAGGCTAATGCTCTAAGATTTTGATTACATGCTTGTAGAAATCTAAACCAATCTTGTATTCTTTGATTACTACATTAAATCCAAGCAATGTTATCTCTAATTCTTTTAATATGACCTGACATTGATTTTAAACTAAATTTTACTATTAAATTAATTATATGACATGCAAAACGTTGGTGAAATATATCATTATTACCGAATAAACTTAAATCATTTTTAAAAAGTTATATTGCTTTAGTATTTGTAGTAACATTATCTAATGTTATAACCATTACTTTATCCCTTAAACTATATTCATTAATGACAGATAAAATTGTATTATATATTAAATCGGCGGTATGTGATCCTATAACACATTTAAAACGTAATATTCTCTTATCTAAATCAAAATCTTTAAAATAATGTATGTTACAGCTAAATAATATTTGTTGGCAACGGCAAACTAAATATCTGCCGTTAACGTAACACAACCACTAGTAGAGTCTAAAAGGTTGATTAATGCTTCACTTTATTGTTTATATAAGTTTAATGTATCTTTCTTAAGAGTACATGAAAAAAATTGTGCATTAGAATTATGTACAATTTTAATATAACAATGCTAATTCCTTTGTTCGGTAAAACTTAGTGGCTGATCTAATGTGGCTATTAATCGTGCTATTTCCATATGATCGACTTGCGGATTGTATTTCCAAGTGCTTAGACCGCTAGTTTGGCAGTCAAATGATAATTGTATTTGATGGAGATCGGGTCCGCCTCCTTGCTTTTGAATACACTTTTCAGAGTGTCTTCTCAAGTGTGTTGTACCATGAATAGTGTTACCTTGTAATTTATCACCACAATATTTGATTGAGCTATGTATTTAATGTTACCGTCATTGTCGACCTCCTCGAATGCGTTAAAGTGCTCCAAAATTGTTGAGGTGCGCTTGCATTTCTTCTTGAAACTTGCAACACTTGCACTAGCACTTGCACTTACCTCTCCTTCACACCCACGAGGTCCACGACCTTTAGTACGTCCACCACGGCTCGGATTTGCAGTTTTCTCAGGAGCTCTTTCTAGTATTTGCAATTCCTACGTTTGAAAAATATTAGTAGGAAATTGTCCTTCTTCAATGTTGAATTGGGCATAAACAAGAATATCACCACCATAACCGGAAGAATCCATTATGAAAAATAAGAGAGATCAAGAGCGCTTTGAGAGAATTAAGAGAGATTGAGAGAGATTTGAGAGAGATTGAGAGAAATTAAGAGATGATGAGAGTTGTTAGGTGAGGAAAATGGTTGGGGGAGGGGGGGAATTTATAGGGAATTTTTTGGCTTGAAAATTTTTGTTCCCCTCAAAATTCGGCTCCAACAGTAAATTAAATTTGGCGGGTCGGGTCTGGCTTCAGGTTTCTCGGGCAACGATAAAAAAATAGAGCCGTTGGAGTCGGGCAAAGCGGGTTCGGGTCAGGTGGAAATAACCATTACATTCAAATTTTTGAGCTGACGATAAAAAAAATATAGTTTTTCGGGTTCGGGTCGGGCATACAATTAAAAAAACTAGCCATTTTTTTGGGTATTCGGGCAAACTTTCGGGCTTCGGGTACGGTGGAAAAATTCAAAAGAAAAAAAACGGTGGCCAGCAGTCACAGCCCCCCCATCGGCGGCGGGGAATGTTTTTTTCTCAGGTTGCCCAAGCCCGAGCCTGAGAAATTTACTTGGACGGGCAGCGATAGGTGCCTGCCCACTGAGCCTGGCTTCGGACACGCCCACTGCCCGAAGTTTCACCACTACTATATCGTCTAAATTAGGTTTTTTTTAGTCATAGGGAAAGTAATTTTTTAACAATTTATAGGAGGAAAATGTGTCTATTTTCTTTTTCCCTAGACTCAAGACTTATTTTGTCAAATGGAAAAAAAAACCTAAGGTTATTAAAGATAAACTTTTGGAGATTGATGCGATGAAGAATAATAAGGTGAAAACAAGCGAAGGTGAGCATGTCGCATAAATTGAGTTGGGATCGGGAGGATGAATAAAGTGGCAAGTGTGATCATGTTGCATGGGTTGAGTCGGGATCGGGAGGAAGAATAAAGTGGCAAGGGTGATCATGTCGCATAGGTTGAGTGGCATGGAAACAATATCAGGAGGGGAGGTGGCAGTGCAATGCATGACAACACGAGACGAATAGGTTGTAGTTGTTTCGGACGAGGTTTCAATTTGGAGGTGGGAGGTTCTTCTTATTGCTTTTTCTTTGCAAAAAAAAAAAAAAAGTTAGGTGTGTCATCTTAATCCATCATCCCAAGTTAATTAACTAGAAGGGCAAATTTGATATTTTCTGTTGTATAAGAATATGAAAATCACACCTTAGAGTATGTAAAAAAAAACTAAATCACAATTGGCGTAATGTAATGAGATTGGCTAGATATAAATAGTTAATTTGAATATATATTATTAATATAATATTAAAATCTATATACTAATTTTAAATTTCTCAAACCCAAAACCTGTAATAATAATGGCTTCGTTCATTTATCCAATTCGAGTTTTTAATTTTATAAATTTTTATAATTAAAAGTTATCAAAATATGTCTCATTTAATTTTTTTTATTACAGTTAAAAATTCTTAAAAAATATTAAATCTTAATTCAAATTAAAAATTTAAATCCCAAAATAGACGATGCTAAAAATACTTGAACAGTAGTGATCCCTCGTCCCATAAATAAAAAAAAATCAATTATGCTAAATAGCCAATCCATTTTTTTAATTAAAAAAGACAATCCAAGCAATTTAAAAAAAAAATAATTTTCCTAAAAATTTAAAAAACAATTTTTATGCCAATCCAATCACCGGGAAAACAAAAATTTATCTTCTAAATGGCGGGAATAACGTCCATTGTTCCCTCCAAATTTTTCTCTCATTCTCTCTCTCCCTGTAGGTTACGTTTCTAATCTCTTCCCCTCTCTCCCGAATCCCTAAGTCCTTCCAAAACCCTAAATTCCCAAATCCGCAATCCTCCAACGACCCAATTGCACCCGATCCCATGGATAATTCAGCACCCGAGAACGATCATTCCCCGCAGGAGCTCAGTCCCGGCGAGCTCCGGCCGACTCCGCCGTCGGAGCGGAGATCCGTCCGCCGGAGACTGGTCCAGTCGACGCTTTTCCCTCTCAAACCCCAACCTCAAGAACGGGAAGCGAATGGAGACGCCGCTAAGGGCGAGAGAGATCGCAACGAAGACGAGAACAGTGAGGAGGAGTGCACTGGGAGTCAGAGCAAGAGAAAAAGAAAGCCGAAGGGAAAATCGACACCTACGAAGAGATCTTCCGAGAAGGTAATTTGGCGGATTTTCGCTTTTCCATCCCCAATTTGTTTGGTTCTAGGATTACGTACTTGTATAGATAAGTACTACTGAATTGAATCAAACTTCTAATTGGTTTTCCAGCCAAAAAAAAAAAAATCTAATTGTTTTCTGTTTGTTTGGTATGTTTGTTAGGTAAAAGGAAAACGATCTGGAAGTAATACTCCGAAGAAAGATTTAACTAATACACAGAGCGAGGATGCACCTCTTGCAATCCCTAATTTGCGGTTTGAGGCAAAAATGACAGCCCAGGTGAGTCAATTTGATTTTTTTTTTTTTCGCTTCTAACTAACTAGTTTCTTTATCAATTTGTTGGCTTCACTTTGATAAAAATAGATGGTGCTTGTTGTTTTTTCATGCTTAGAGAAAATAGCAAAGGACACTCTTTGATTAATTATTCTGAACTGAACCAACCTTAGTCAAAGAACCTCTAGTCCCACATTATTGGTTAATTTTTGGGCACATTGACATACAATCAAGAAAAAGAGAATGTAATTTTAATTCTTAACAGGTAAGTTTATAGTTGAATTACATGCTTAATTCTCTTTCCTTTACAAACCTTTTCCTTTCTTTCCCATCATAATCCATTGCGAGTAATTAAATGTACCATTGTATAATCCTCTAGTTTATTGCTTCTGGAAGTTTAGGTAATGATGAAGTTGTTGCCTTGAAACTTGCGCGTGATTTTGACTTGGAAATTGGCCTCTTGCATATCAGCTTCATGCTTTTGACCAATATATATTTGGCATGGAACCCTAAGTATCCTCCTTTTGCATTTTGTCAGGAAAATTCTCGGATATTTGCAGGAAAGCAAATACATCCCTTCTTCTCATCGTGTAAAACAAGCAAGAAAAGTCAAGAGGTGATTGACTTAGTGAGCAACCAGTTCGCAGCTGGTAGAGACAAAAAAGAGATAACTTGTGGCCCAATCCATGTATTTGAAAGGACCCAGGTAAGATTCTCCGAGTTTAACTCTTCTACGGCAGTTTTCGCAGTTGCTGAGTTGGGGGAACTAGAGATTTGAGGTTAATTTTTCTACATTGTGGTGGAACCTAAAATTCTGCAATGCAGGACAACGCAGAGGCACTTGATTGGAGAACCTGGACGTTTCATGAGGGAATCTTCATGAATAGCAATTCTGTATTAGAAAACGCATGCTCATCCATTTTTTAAGGATCTGTTGAGTGCTTAAGTTTTAATATGCTTTCAATTAATTCAAATCCCAGCAACACATCAGTTCTTCAGGACACGGTTTCTTTTGATCAGTGTCCTATTCAAGAAGAATGTTTTTATGAAACAGCACCAACAGCCTTTGACTTATCAAATGACGAGAAAGTGATTTGCTATCAGCCCTTAAAGGATGCAGAAGTAAGTACTGCATTGTTCTATCTTACTTCTGATTTTTTTCCTTCCATATAATATGTTCTAACAGCAATATGCTCATTTTGCTCTACTAACTGTTTCGTTTGTTGTCATGCTGTGATTCAGTTAATTCAAATAAATTACTCCCAGGACAGTGAGGTAACTAAAGTTGATTCCTTCAGTGGGCATACTGGTGTAGTAATGAAGCCAGACATTGGGCAACAAAGTAGATTTCTCGAGGAAAGGTAAAGGTTTAATTAAATTGTCTGAGATGTTTTTTTTTTTCCAACCCATTTTCTTTTTACTTTTTTTTTTTTTTTTTTTTTTTTTTTTTTTTTTCTGTTTTGTTTTGTTTTTGTTTTTTAGCGCTGAAACTTTTGTTTTTCTTATACTAATATTCTTCTCTTAATTGTGTTTTTTTTTTGTTTTTTTTTTTACAATCATCGTTTCTGTTAATCTATCTAATATACAGGTCACAATTTTCATGATTGTGCACATTTATGTCTTTTTAGCTGACCTTTTTCTGATAACTACTCTCATCTGACACTGCATCCTTATTATTTGAGATGATTATCATACACGATGTGAAGTATTGTGCATATATTTCTTAGGTTGCAATTAGTAATTTAGTATATGATCTTACTTTATTGCTGCATTAATTGCAGAATGAAGTCGTACTATTTTGATTGTGGTAATCAACCAAGGGATAGCTTATGGACCTATAAGTACCAGCCAAAAAATGCCCTGGAGGTTAGATATGTCGGTCTGTTTCTTCATTGTAGAAGTTACGCAATTTTGAAGTTTCTCCAATCTAGATGGATGAAAAACTTTTGTTTCACCTTTTTTTTTTTTTGACATGGCCGAGTAGGTATGTGGCAACGATGAATCTGTGAATTTTTTGAGTCAGTGGCTCCAGCATTGGCGTGAAAGAAATTTTCGTATCAGCAAGGAAACTATTAATTGTGATACAGGTGACAGGGGAGATGGCGATTATATTTGTTCTGAAAGTGACTCTGATTTAGAAAAAGAACGGGAAGGGGGTGGCCTGAAAAATGTACTCTTAGTTACTGGGCCGGTTGGGGTAAGTACAAAACACATGAAGTACACTGTCTGTCTATGATTATAGTGAGTCATGGTCTTTGGTCTTTTAGGGGAGCTATTCTGTTTATCCTCTATATATGCTTGTTTTAGGTTCTTAATTTCTTATATGAAAGCATATCTAGTACCTTATGAGTGCATTAATTGGACATGCTGATAGCAGAGAATCAACTATATACAAATGTTATTTATGTCTGGTGCTGCTAGTCTTATTTGGGTACTGACAAGGATACACGTCCTAGAGCTTTACAATTAGAGCCGCCTCTTTTGTAGCCTTATGTTAGAATTGCTTCATATCACAATTTTGGTATGATTGGTGTTATAAAAATTTAAGCATAATTGTACTTATGTTGAAAAGAATAATAATAATAATAACATCATTGATAAAAATAGCTTTCTGCATGTACAACTTTTTGTTCTGGTGCTCGCATGTTCAAGAATTAAAAGGGCCTTTTTTTTCTTTACTGATCTGGATGCTGAGAGTAACAATATACGATTCTAAGTTTATGGTCATAGATGATTTAAGTAGTGTCAATTTCCAGATATAGATATCATATGGCTTGGTTTCCTTGTCCAGCACGTGTTCAGTGCATCCACGGTTTTACAATTGGTTTTCAATTTCTATATTTATCCATAAAAGTGATACATTTTTCAGATTAAGATCTATGACTCACGTGTTGCAGAGTGGAAAGTCTGCTGCTATTTATGCTTGTGCACGAGAGCAAGGATTTGAGGTTTTGGAGGTATTAAATTGTGATAATTTTTTTCTACTTAAGAGAGATCGTTGTTCATTGGTGATGATTGCTGTTGTTTTTTTTCTTTCCTCTTCAACATGTATATAACTATCTATATGTCAATGAAGATGGTTGTTAAATAGATGAAATAAAATCCCTATTTCTATGGATGTTGATTGTGATGTAATTTGATTGCTAGTATTCTTTTTAAGCAATGCCAACTAGCCATAGCAGAAGCAAGAAGCACCACATATTGACAGAAAGGGGAATTTGCCTATTTACAAGTTACCCTTCGCCAAATTGATCTATGATTCAAATACAGTTCAATAAAAATGATTGAAGATAAGGTTGAGTTGAAACTGTAATTTTGCTTTTAACTTTTGAATATGAGAAGTTTTCAATACTCTCTCAAATTTAGTAAACTTATGGGATGTTTGTTTCAAGGGTTCCTCCCTAGTTCTGAAACATGGTTATTGGTTCTCTACAGTGTTTTTCTCACAAAAAATTTGAATTTTAAAAATCATAATCATAAATCATGGTTCTAAATCAATGAACCAAACGTCCCATTAATGTTAAATTGTGTCTGCTTAATAAATCATGCGAGTGATCTTCAAATTCAACTTTTTCCCTGTATGATTCCAAAATGATTTATGTTGTGTTATTTTCTTTAGCCTGTTACATAAAACAGATGGATATTTAAACGTATCTGTTTGACTGGAAAATTGAATGCATACATCTAAATGGATAGAATATTAAACAACTGTTAATTTGAATATGGGTGTGTGTGCATATGTACATATTTATCCATTGCGCATATATATATATTTATGCGTCTCTGATTTTATCTGATTTTATGTAATAGTGACTAGCGTACGTCGCATCTATTTTTTCAGTCATCAAAATTATTGACAAGTTTTATACAAGCAGTGATAAGCTCACTAAGGCCCCGTTCATTTTGCTGATTCGAGTTTAGAATTCGAGTTTTTCTACAGTAAAAAGCTCTCACAAACAATCACATCTAACTTTTTTGCTACAGTAAAAAACTCTCACATAAAGTCACATCTCAACTTGAATTAAAAACTCGAATCAGCGAACTAAACGGGCCCTAAATGTATCCACTTTTTTTGTATGATGAACCAGTTGATAGTACAATAATACATCATCATTTCACATTTATCTAGTGGCTACCGAATCATCAGACATTGTTTCTTTGGTTTTGATCATGGGATGCTGATACATTGCTTATTTTCTGCATGTTGATTTTTTTTTTTTTTTTTTTTTTTACCGGCATATTGATTTATAGATTGACTGTCTTTTCATTTCAGGTCAGCGCATCAGAATGTCGAAATGGAGCTCTTGTGAAGCAGAGGTTTGGTGAGGCTTTAGAATCACGTCAACTTAAAAGGTTCTTCTCATATATATTCCTTTAGAAATAGCGGTCGTACTCGGGGCTTTCTAAAGTTCACTTTTTTACTTCATTTGCTATAAACGCAGTTTCTCCACATTCAGAGTTTCTTTTTCAAGGAAGCTTCTCTATAACATGAAGAGGGATATAAAACAATATAGAAAGCATGTAAAAATGTGGAAAACTTAAATGTTGAAATTATTGCAAATTAATCCCCATCAGAGAATTTACAGCGGAAAGAAATGCAAAATTACTTACCTTTTTCATTGAAGGATTCTTTAGTACTGGTAATGCAAGGGAAGATCAAAGCATTTCTCTTTTTTGTAACTTTGCTTTGAAACCTAAAGAGTTGTTTTTTCCTATACCATGGTTTAAATGAGTAGGCAATTTAATTGGCTCAGTAATGTTTCTAGCTGAAAGTATTTTTTTTTCAAAGCTCAATGTTACTTGGTCTTGGTGCATCTTGGTGATTGATGCCTCGTAGAGGCATTCAAGTTGCACCTAGCCAACCTGAAAGAATCTCAAATGGCATTATCTTTTCTCTGTTAATCAATATAGAGCTCAATCTTTATCTCAGTATAGAGCTTAATCTCAAATGGCAATGTCTTTTCTCTGAAAATCGACATTCATGGCATTGCATTTGTTCTTGTGCATGCTTCTACTTTTCCTTTTTTTTTTTTAGTAATTTATGCAACATTGCAATTGTACGAATGCTTTCTGTGCAAATAAAATTCTCAGTAAGAATTTGCATCATGGTGAGGAATTTTTTGCTTGCAAGTGTCATGCCCAGGGTCAGTATTAGTCATTATTTAGTAAAATCACAGCAGAAATGAGACCTTATTTGTCCCTGAATAATGAGTCTTTTCATGTGCATCTAGGTCACTGGGAAACCCTGTGGGTTCACTGAGTAAGCTTATTTTGAAACCCTCAAATCTGGCCAAAGGCACTGCAACCCAAGAACTAGATGATGAGGTGGTTGACCTGATCCCCTTATCAGATGAAGATTGTCGGAATGCAACAGGAGGATCTGGTATTTCTTATCGTGAGGAGTCTGGAAGTTGCTGCAGTCAGAGTGAAGTTAAACCTTTAATTCTATTCGACGATGTGGATATCACTTTCCTTGAAGATCGGGGATTTATTGCAGCAGTACAGCAAATTGCTGAAACAGCAAAGGGGCCCATAGTATTGACAAGCAACAGTAAGAGGGCTCACTGTTATATATAGATTTTCTCTGACTTGAAACTTTGTATTTCAGGAAGGTTTTCTTATTTGTAATTTTCGTAATTGTTATAAAATCCTAGGTCACAATCCTTTCCTGCCAGATAACTTAGACAGAGAGCAGATATATTTCACCCCACCATCACAAGAGGAGCTGCTTTGCCATTTTTTTATGGTAAAGTTCTTTTTCCCTGTTTAGCTTGTCCATTACAGGAATCTGGAATTTTCTTTTCGTCAAATTCAACATGTTTCTATTACTTCATTTCAGGTTTGTGCTGCAGAGAGAGTCAACATCCAACCTTATTTATTAGAACGATTTGTTGGATGTTGTCAGGGAGATATGCGGAAAATGATTATGCATCTTCAGTTCTGGTGTCAGGGTCGAGCCTCTATGAAAGGTTAGTCGAATTGCACAGATGCTGGTTATTATTATGTGTACAAGTTTCAAACAGGATAAATATCATTTTTTTTTCTTTGCCCTCTACATTTTATGTGGTATGGAAAGGGATTTTGGGGTCTTAATGACTTTGTTTTAACTAAATAACATTCTTTAGATTATTTAGTGACAACTTTAGTTTTTCCCCTTTTTGAGCTTTTTGTTTGGGAGAGGAAGGTTCTCTGAAATGGTTTTGTTAAAATTATTTTTGGGGCTATTAAAGAACATATTGAATTTTCCCGCTTGACCTGTGAGAGTTCTCATAATTAGCCTCTCTATTGGAGGAAATTTTTAATGTTTTAATGCATTTATTTTTGTTCAGCTAGGAAACGGCAAAGGACATGTGGTTCACTGCCATTTGATCTTGAGGTTGGCCATCAGATACTTCCAAAATTGATACCATGGGAATTACCTTCTCAGTTATCTGAGCTAGTTGATAAAGAGATTAGCACATCACTATCAAGGGAAGAAAATTCTTGCTTAATGGAGGCAATTGAGGAAGAAGAATTGGACAAGAGGGAAATAGAATTTAGTTTTTCACATAACAATGAAACGGAAACTATAGAAGCCAAGAAGGCAAGAATGTTGAGCAGGAATTGCTCTATTCATGAATATGACGAGTTTAGAACACAACTTGATACTGTTCATGAGTTTTCTGATAATTCAGACACTCCATTTTTGTGTTCTCGGCGGAATGCTCGGGGAAAGCAGGATATGATACTGTCTTCAGATTCTGAAGATGAAAAAATTGGTAATGGATGTAATATATTCATGAATAGAGACGGTAACAATGAACTATTTTTTGAAGGGAGCCTTCCATTTACGGAGGTACCTTTTTCTGCATCAGATGATATGGATGAGAAACTGCATAATTGTTCAGAAGCTGCAGGCTGCATCCCCATAAATGACGAATGCAAGTCACTTGATGTGTCATGTGTGCCAGAATCAACATTTGTTCCAGAAACTGAAATTTACAATGGCGCAGAGGTACATTTAAGGGATACAATGGAAGAAGTTTCAGTGAGCAACAGATTACCAGTTGAAGCTGATTATCTAGATATATCAAAGTCAGAAATACAAAAAGATTCAGATACCTTTCAAAGTAATCAGCATGTAGCAGAATTTTGCGAACTAGAAGAGGTGGATGATTCTCAAAATGAGCATGTGGAGGCTGTTGCAATCGAGAATCAGGTGATGGATGAGTCTAGCCGCATGGATTTTCACAGACTGTCTAAATATGTAGAGAAGCCAAAACCGTTAGTTGTGACTGATTTAGTCCAAAAGTCGTGGAATAAACTTCGTGTCTGCCGTGCAGACCTAGCACAGTATGTGAGATCAGAAGAGCAACAGCATCTTCAAATTGTCAAGCTCACTGATGAAGTGAGCAATCTAATTTCAGAAACAGATGTGTTGCTTTCTAACTGTCAACCACTAACAGGTGTAAGTGTCATGTAACTTTTCTCGCTGGAAATTAAAAGGACCCTTTGCCATTCACATTGTCAAAGTTTGGTTGATGATTGTACTTTATTTAACTGCAGGACTCTTTAGAACCATCAATGATCCCTTCTGGGGAATCAGATACATACAGCTTATATGATAAATGGTTATTGGCTTCCACAACCGCACAACATGGATTTTGTTTCTATGCCAAAAACATTGCTGCTGTTGGATCAACCATCGGATCTGAAACCACGGTAGATTTAGCCTCTGAGCTGTTGGCTTCTGCAACTGATATGATGGCATTAGGTAAATTAGCTGGACATGGGATGATATCAAGTCTGAATACATGTAGTGGAAGAAATTCAGGAAGCCTGGAAAAAACCGATATTTCATCTAGAAGGTATTATTCTTAAAACCCATTTTGTGACATAAGTTGATTGGTTATCTGTACAAATCCATAATTCTTGATGCCTGCAATGCAGTGAAAACAACTCGTCCCTTGTTGATGTAATTCAATCCATTGTTCCTTCAAAATCTTGCATGGCATTGAAAGGTCCTGCATATTATGAATATCTCTCTTCATTGCGCTGCATGTCGAGGTCAGAAGCTTCTCGTTTATCAGAAGAGAATGACAAACCAAGAAAACGCAGGTGTGTAATTGTGATGGTCAAATTGATCTCTTCCTTCTTTTCTAATGGAATTTTGAAAGGTAATATAACATGATGTTCTAACACAGGAGACGGGCCAATCGACACTACTTGAGTACTGGCTCGCTGATGCTGTCCCCTGAAGACATATCATTGCTGCGTCCAATTAACATGTACAGAGAGAATTCTTCTCAACCTGCGGATGCTCTTTAGATTTCAATTTTGAAGCAAGCAGAAAACTAACAAGATTGATGCAGTACATTTGTCATCTTCGGTGATTGGCTCAAGATAACAGCCGGAGAATTCGTAGTCATCCTAAGGCAGACAAATGTTATACGCTTCAATTTAAATGTATTATTCATTATTCTTCCTAATTTTAGTTCATGTGAATGGCCATCCAAAGTTGCCGACCAATAGAATAGTAGGAGGGCTACGATTACCACCACCAATTTGAAAGTTAGGATATGCCATAAGTACCCATTTCTCTCATTGTACAGGTTAATAGTGGAAAGTGATTTTTTGTACCAAGTGTAAGTTATATTCAAATAAAGAGTAGTAGAAAACTTCTTAGGATCAGGTGTGCGAAATGTGATGGAAAAGTTCTTAAGGTCTTTTGGCAAATGTATTTAAACCTATGATTATGATTTTGTTATAAATTTTGAATTCAAAAATTTCATATTAATGGTTCTCTCACAAAGTTCTCGTTAATGACTGATTTAAACATGTGAACCAAACATGCCTGTATTCATGATATTTCAGTGCATCTTGTAATCTTGGATTGATGAAATTCACCTAGTCCTTGGAAAAGGTTTCAAGAAAGACATTTTTTTAAGAGAAAAATACATGGTTTGTCATGATTTTGTGTAGGCATACTATATGTCAATTTAAATAATCAAGTATCATTATGGCACTTTGTTTATTATTTATTAATTAAATCACAATTATTTATTTTTTAATGGAGTAGCATAAATAATATTTTTTTAGGAACAATGAGGGAAATAGTATAATTAGTAAAGTGATTAATAAATTATAGTATATATTTTTAAAAAATAATAAATTATAGCATAATTTTATATTTTAAGTTTTAAACATTATTAAAAACCCAAAAATACCCATAAACTTCTTTTTTCACCTCACTCCTCCCCCGTAAACATCTATTTTTTAAAAATAGTAAATTATAACATATTTTTTAAAATATGTAGATTATAGTCAAGTCCACCATGACTGGGACTGGGGCCGACTCTACTAATTAGCTCCGACAACCGGCGACCGTTTTCCGGTAACTGGTGAAAGTTTTCCAGTTTAAAATTGTATTTACTAATAAATACCATATTTATCCGAAAAGCCAACAACCAACTCTAGCGACCGTTTAACGTTGTATTTATAGATAAATACCGTATTTACCAATAAATATTATATTTACTAGTAAATATCATATTTACCTGAAAATCCGACCACTGACTCCGGTGACCTTTTAATATTGTATTTAATGGTAAATACTGTATTTACCAGTAAATATTAAATTTATCTGAAAATTCAGGCACCGACTCCATCGACCTTTTAACACTGTATCAACTAGTGAATATTGTATTTACCAGTAAATACCGTAATTACTAGTAAATATCATATTTATCCAAAAACTTGAGCACCGAATCCGACGACCGTTTAACATAGTATTTACCGGTAAAATATAGTATTTACCGGTAAATATAGTATTTACCAGTAAATATCATATTTATACGAAAATTCGACCACTTACTCTGACAACTGTTTAACACTGTATTTACTAGTAAAAATCGTATTTACGAGTAAAATATAACATTTATCTAAAAATCTGACCACCGACTTTGGCGACTATTTAACACTGTATATACCTAAAAATACCGTATTTATCAGTAAAATACTGTATTTACTAATAAATATCATATTTATTCAAATATCCGGCCACCAACTCCGGCGACTGTTAAAACACTGTATTTATCAGTAAATACCGTATTTACCGGTAAATAGCGTATTTATCAAATTCCAAATTGTAAACTACTAAGGGCTTGTTTGGTTCAACAACTAAAAATGTGGAGATTTGAACCCTTTTGGTTAGAATTGTAGAATCTGAACGGTGGTGATTTAAACTGTGATCCGAATTGTTGTTTGGAAGTGCAAATAAATTATAATTTGAATTGGGAATAAAATCTGAACTGTGTTTGGATAAAGTGTTGAAAACTGTCATTAGAGTTTTGTAACAAATCTTATAAATCCTCATTATAAATGACATTTAAAAATATGCAATATGGGTGGGAATTTTTTCCTTTCTTCATTATAAACACATTCAAAATCATCTCAATCAGATTTAAAATGAAGAATCTATGACATTTTTAAGATTAATATTGAAGCGAGAGAAAAAGTAGAATATGAAACTATTGGACTGTTGACAACAATTTGAATTGTTAGAATTTAAGGGAGGGGTGAATTCTAAAATCAACAATTTGAGTTGTCCTCAAACCATTGTTAATGGATTGAATTGTCCTTGAATTTTTCTCTCCCAAACATCAATTTGAATTATGAACCAATGTTTGAATCCTAAACAACAGATTGAGTTGTCGAAACAAACATGGGCTAAAGTATTTACTAGTAAACACATTATTTACCATATTCAATCTTGGTACTAATAAAATATTTACTGATAAATATAATTTTTACAAGATTCTAAATTTAAACTATCAAAGTATTTACAAGTAAATACAATATTTATCATATTCAAAATTGTAATTACTAAAGTATTTACAGCTAAATACTGAATTTACCCGATTCAAACTTGTAACTACTATTGTATTTTTAAATATAAACAGTATTTGCCCATAATTAACTACTAAAGTATTTACTAATAAATACAATATTTACCAAACACAAACAAATGCTAATTCATAAATTTTTTTGCAAATCTCCAAACATAAATAAATACAAACAAAAATTTTTGAAACTACACATCTGAGATGATTTGTAGTTACAAGTAAATATTGTATTTACTATAATAATCCTAAAAATATCCAAAGAATGTCTTCACTCACATTAGAAAACCACTTTTTTAACATCTTCAATTATCAAATGCACAAACAATCTGTGCACCCAACATATTCCTAGAGAAATTCCTGCACATTATTAACAATGTAATCATGAGAGTTGCTCTTTCTACTTTCAAATTAAAATGATCTGCTCTTCTCCATTGGTTATGGTAGATAATAGTGGATAGCAAAATGACCAACAAATTCAAGAGAAATGTCAAAATGACAAAAATATTCCAGTGAAGTGGCAAAATAGATTATAGAGAAATATTGACCCTTAAGTAGTAGGTATCTAAGTAAACAACAGCCCTCTGCACATAAATCTTTGGCTTTACGAAACAGATTGTGATGGGTAGTGTTTCTCTGCTAAACGCCATCACCAGATCTGCCATTTCCTCCGATGACGACGAATGCGTGAAGATCCGTGCCACGACGAAGATCTTAAAAATCAAAATCCATAGGAACGCTGTTGTCCTCAAATCAGAGAGAGAGGGAGGAAGGATCTGTCGTTTCATAAAGAGAGCAAGCGAGAGAGAGGCAGAGGCGGCGATGAGAGAAAGAGAGACGATTGCCGAACGACGATCTCTATTGGTCACGAATGGTGGTTTGCAATAATGGCGGATCACGATCTCCAACGACAGCCGATCTTGGTAAAGATCCGTCTATGGCGTTCTCTGGCCACAAGAATTGCGAATCGCGATCTCCAACGGTGACCTGGCTCTTAGCAATGGCGACCGCCGGAGAAGGAGAGGAGAGAGGCGGCGGTGAAGCTCAACAAAGAGAGAGACTAGAGAAAGCAGAAAAGAGAGAGATAGTTAACGACCGTTTATTGTACTGAGTTTTTAATTTGAGTTGAGATATAATTTTATGTAAAAAAAATTTATTGTAGTAAAAAAATTAAATGTGATTATTTTTTAGAGTTTTTTTATTATAATAAAATTCAAATTTTAAACTCAAATGGTGAAGTAAACAGGTATTTAATCACTCTAAAAGAATAAATGATCCGTTTAATTTAAGTTTTTAATTTAAATTAAGATGTGATTTTATATTAAAATTTTTTACTGTAATAAAAAAATTAAATATAATTATTTTTAAAAATTTTTTACTTAATAAAACTTGAAGTGGCGAAATTAACAGGAGCTTAGAAACGAATTATTATTTTAGAATGAATAACAGCTATAATTTACTAAGTTCTAAAAAATAATAATATTTACTCCAAACGATGGTACGAAATACGCTATTCTCTGCATTTTTTTCTATTTTTTTTTTTTACCCTATTTCTGGTTTTGGCCCTTTCGTTGTTTTGTTTTTAGGAAAAAAAGAGAGAAATAAGTAAAGATTTAAGATGAATTAAAATTAATAGATTAATAGTTTACATAAGTTAATAAATATATTAAATTACTATTTTTGTTTATAATTTATCTGATTATGAACTATAACTTGACAAGTTATTCACGGTTTTTGTCTATAACTTGTATGACTATAAATTATAATTTGATAAGTTTATCTATAACTTATTTAATTATAAATCATAACTTAATAAGTTATGACCTATTAATTTCTATAAAAATTGACATATATATTTTTTTAAGTTTTTTATATTGGGCTATTTTCTATTGTTTTTAACTGCTCAAGAATGATGTGGAAGCCCAAAGAAACAGGCAGTGTGGGCCAGCTATGGATTGGGCTTTAGCTATAACGGGCAAACTGCTCGCACGATGCAACAAGCATTCCCATCGCATGAGATGCCACTTTTAGAGAGTGATTAAAGTATACAACTTGTTTAGAAAATTTAACCTGAAAATGTTACAAGTGAATGACTAGTCTTCAAAAGTGGTACAGCTTAATTAACACCCACCCCATCCCATATCAGTTCATAAAGATGCACTATTGTCATTGTGCTAGCAAGGCTAATTATAACTATTGATCTGTTAAACGAATTTACTTAGCAAATAGAAGCTAGAGTACTTCTTTTGCCACAATAGGATGAGAAAAGTGTCGCTCAAGATGGAACAGAAAATATTTTAGTTAAGTGTTTGTCCCATGTTTGGTACACTATCATTCCAAGTAATCGAACAACATAAATTCCCATCCAAAAACCATTTTTTAGGTCCCATTTATTTTACCGATTTGAGTTTAAAATTTAAGTTTTGTTACAGTAAAAAGCTCTAAAAAATAATCACATTTAATTTTTTTTTTACTACAGTTAAAATCTCTCACATAAAATCACATCTAATCTAAAATTAAAAACTCAAATCAACAAACTAAACAGACCATTATTTTATCCTCCAAGCGCGACCGTGAGGCTTTATTTCCAATCACGGTTATGGCAGGGAACTTATCCATTATGGGCCACTTATTTATATTAATGACTTATTCTTTGGACATGTTTAATCTAGAGAAAAAAGATAAATATTTTTTATATTAATGACTTATTCTTTGGACATGTTTAATTTAGGGAAAAAAAGATAAATATTTTTTAGAATGCATGAGTTATCAATTTTTACCCATTATACTTAATTAATGTCT